CCTGTAAAAAAAATGGCGGGAAAATAAAATTTAGTTTTTTTAAATAGAAAAATGATGAACCTGTTCGTTTACTGATTATTTACTGATCCATTCTTCCATTCGCGTTCATTCATTCGTTTATTTATTCGTTCATTTATTCGTTCATTTATTCGTTCATTTATTCATTCATTCATTCCTTTTTTCATTCATTCACTCAAAATTAAAATAATATACTTTTAAGTTTTTTAATATATCCTTTCTTTATGACGGCTTCTGCAATGAAAAATTGTTCACAAAATTATTATAAAAAGTTAACAACGTGTTCGCAAATTGTTCACACCATGTTCACACATCATGTTCACACAATGTCCACTCAATGTCCACAACACCTTTACATACACATATATATTATTAAGGTTGAGACTGTCTTATATAATATTATTATTATTTAATGGTTGTTTCATTTGACGGAGTTTAACACGCCATTGTATTCTTAATAAGTTCACTCATTCAATTATTCACTTATTTATTAAATTATCCATTTATTAATTAGTTAATTAATTAATTGAGTCATTCATTCGTTCATTCAATCGTATTTGATTCACGTAATTAATGTCACAAAATTGTTCAACACTAACCCGCACTCATCTCTCGATGAACGAATTCATATATACATAACATACACACAAACACCACACATACACAAATATACACACACACAAAAATACACATACACACATACGCTAGTACAGCTAACAAACACCAGTTTGCTCTGCACAGCAACTGATGTTAAATATCGATTTCGAAACACAGGTTTTAGTATTAACATTGTATTAAATTATATTTTATTAATTATGTATTTTATTTTATGTATTAACATTGTATTAAATTATACTAAATCATATGTTATATATATATATAAAGAGAGAGAGAGAGAAGAATGCGACGAGATGGTACAATGGTTACAGAGTAATCATCTATAATTATTATAAATTAAATTATAAAAATTATTCCTTGTTCTCTTTATTACTTCTCAGAGGCAAACACACACAGTGCCTAGAAATTCGCCTCAATCATGCATCAGCAACAATGCACCTGATAGGCGAAAATTTTCTTGCGTTTGAACCTAGTCACTGTAACATCAGTGCCAGATACCTTAACCATTATACCATCGCGGCACCACCAGAAAACTATAAAATATTATATTTTTTGCTAAACTTTAATAACTTTTTCCAGTCGAAATAAGCAATCAGACAAGGATGATTTTGTAGTATACTGTATGTATTGATTTGTATATATTGTATTGTATGTATTGATTTGTATGTATTGTATGTATTGTAGTTACCTTGTTTGGACAACGGATGATGATAACATATGTGTTGTATTCATGCGGAAGAAAAGAATGGAAAATCTAACAGCTACTGAAAAGATTGCAGGGAAAAGAGATCGCGGTCAACAACGAACAACTTTCGTGAAGTCCTTGTGTCACTTGTTGAATATCACCACTTTTCAACTACTACAAAGTGTTAAAGATCGGGTTTTGTGAAGGTCGATGGTCACCAATGTCCTGAGAGGATAAGGTACGAGAAAGAAAGAAGAAATAGATGAAAGAACTTGTCAATTAAATGATGAAACAGTCTTTCTAAGTAGTTTTAAACCATTTAAAAGTACAAGAACGTTTCAGGATATGAAGGGCAGCGGTGACAAAACAAGGATTTGAAAAAAAAACATACAAAAGTCGGCAAAACTTAAATTTATAATCTATCTCTTAAAAAACGCAGATAACTTTGGAAATTGAAGTAACCACAAAGAAAAATAAATCCGACTCGGTCCTCCAAAGTAGGTATCGGAATCGAGTATCGATTTTTGTTCTGTCCACAAAGCATCGCCGATACGAATACTTCCACGTTAACAACCCTGACTACTGTTACTGCCAATGCATCAACTACTACGACTGCTGTTGCTGCTGTCGCTACTACCGCTGCTGCTATTTCTAAAATGAAATACAAGACTCGAGCGTAGAATAACAAGTTTTTCATTAAAAAAAATTCGATTACTGTTTAGCGGTGGGAAAATTCAAATCAGACGAACAGAGTAAACGTGATATATATATATATATATATATATATATATATATACATACATACATGTGTGTGTGTGTGCGTGTGTATAGTTATATACACGCAGCAAGTTATAATGACATTATGAATATATATTATGGGGGAATGGAAAATAATCCAATGATAATAAAAAAAAAATTATCAATAATAAAAGCGGGAATTTTTCATTAATAATAATAAGAATAACAAAAATGAGAATAATAATAATAAAAATGGGAAAAATGAAAACGATTAATAATGAAATGTGTCAAATTAAAACGTCAAAAAACAAAAAATTATATCTGAATACTTATATATATATATATATATATATATATATATATATATATATAAGTTATGTTATGTCTGTATGTCTGTCTATGATATTATATATTATGTCTGAATACTTATATATATATATATATATATATATATATATATATATATATATAACCGTGTCATAAACACGCAATAATATAGAGGAATAATAATATCAATAAAAATAAGAATAATAACAACAATAAAATAATGATAATAATAGAATAATACTATATATTAGTTTTTTATAACGTTGATAACGTTAACTTCCAACAAATGAAGCGTTTAATTGTTCGTTCGATCAGATGGTTCAAAGTATAGTAAAAATAATTAAATTTCAATAACATTACTACTCTGCACCACTACTACTACCACCACCACTACTACTATTGCTACTATTACTACTACTAGTACCGCAAATATTATTAGCGGCAATAGAAGAAGCAGTATTGGTGATATAGCACTGAAAAGTAACATCGGTAGCAGCAGTAGTAGTAGTAACAGTAGTAGTAGTAGTAGTAGTAGTAGTAGTAGTAGTAGTAGTAGTAGTAGTAGTAGTAGAAGTAGTAGTAACAGTAGTAGCAGTAATTGATAAAAGTAGTAGCAGCAGCAGTATTAGTAGTAGTAACTGCAGTAGTAGTAGTAGAGTAACTGTAGTAGTAATAGTAGTAGTAACTGCAGTAGTAGTAGTAGTAGTAGTAGTAGTAGTAGTAGTAGTAGTGGTGGTGGTTGTGGTAGTAGTAATAATAATATGATCAAGCGATAATTGAAGTGACGATTTGATTTTAAAATGTGATCCAGTAGAGAAACAACACACATGTGTTAATCAACAAATAACAAGTATATATATACATTAGACATTTATAATACATCAATAACCATACTAAAAATATGAAAAAACAGCTATTATTATTTGATTATTATTTTTATTATTATTAAGGAATTAATTATCATTATGATTAGCCATAATGGCAAAGTGTCCGACTCTCGAGTTGCTGTGATTGACTTCAAATGCAAATAGATCCCTAACTAAGTATGGCTCTCTGCAACTGAGCGCTATATAAATGACTCAATATTAAAATTATTATTTTATCATTATTATTATCGTCATAATTATTATTATACACATGTATTCATAATATGGATACCTATCAAATTCATATTAATTAATAAATTTAATTAGTTAGCCCATTAATTAATAATCAATGCACATTAATAACAATAATAATAATAATAATTATTATTATTAATTATAATTGTCGTTATTATATTTAGATAATTAAATCAATAGAGATATTAATTAATAATTGCCATTGAAGAAAAAAACCAACGGTTGTCATAGCCAGGAATGCAAGTGCACGATAACCAACAATAATAATAATAAAAAAATAATAATAATAATAAATATTAATAATAATATTAATAAATAATAATATCAATAATAATAATAATTGTAAACCTGATCAAATGAATTGGTCCGTACTCATGTAGCTTATCAAGAGACATCATCAGCAATAAAAGCGTACTATACATCCCATGTATTTATATTAGTACTAACTAGCAAGGCAAAACTAAACAGATTAATAATAAAACAAAGAATACAATAGCAGTAGTAGTAATTAATTATAATAATAATAATATTATTATTATAAATCATAATAAATTAATGGTAGTAGTAGTAGTAATAGTGGTGGTAGTAGTAGTAGTAGTAGTAGTAGTAGTAGTAGTAGTAGTTGTAGTAGTAGTAGTAGTAGTAGTAGTAATAATAATAACAATAATAATAATCCAAATTGTTAGTTTTATATCATTTAGGTATAAATACATGGAAGTTGTTAGTTTAGTCGATTTAATACTATCATAATGTAGTGTATTAACATATAGGAATCATGCAAGTTACTATCATCATTATCATCATTTATCTTCTTCATCATCATTATCATCATCTTCTTCTTCTTCATCATCAGCATCATCTTCTTCTTCCTCTTCCTCATCTTCAATTTAGACTTGGTCCTCGTGAAACTGTAAAGTTGAAAAAATATTAAAGTAGACCAACCGCAACAACATTGAAATCAACAAAGACAGCATGAACATCAACAACAACATCAATGGCATTAACAACAACAACAAGACAACAATAACAAAAAAATCAATAATAGCAACATCAGCAACAAAAACATCAATGACAACGACATCAACAACAACAACAACAGCACTAACATCCGCTCTGCAATTTTCTTTGCATCTCTTTCAACCTACTTGATCTCTCTTCATAAGAATTGTCATGTAATTGTTGTTGGCGTTGATGTAATTGTTGTTGTTGATGCTGCAATTGCTGGTCTTTCTGTTGTTGGTGTAAGTGTTGTTGTACAAAGTTGTTGTTGTCATGTAAAAATCGTTGATAGTTGATGTTGTTGTTGTTACTGAACTGATGTTGTTGTTGTTGCAATTGATGCTGTTGTTGTTGTTGATGTGATGATGGTCCAATGTTCTTATCATTAAAGTTGTTGTTGTTGATATTGAGGAGTGATGATGATGATTTAGCTTGGGATGGTGACGTCACTACATTCTGACTAGATAACCTTGAAATTATTTAATAAAATAAACGAATGAAAAAACATATTAATTAATGAATGAATGAATGAATGAATGAATGAAAGAATTAACGAACGAACGAACGATCGAACGAATGAATGAATAAAAAATGAGTCAGAATGAATGAACATGAACAAAAAAACGGTTGAATGACAAACGAATGTGTTAGAAATGAATGAATGAACAAACCAACAAACAAATGAATGAATGAATGAATAAATAAATGAACGAACGAACGAACGAACGAATGAATGAATGGAATGGAATGGACAGAGAAGAAAAACATAGATAACCACCTCTTAGCACTAGCTTTTTCCTTAGTCGGCGGGGTCGCCTGTATTGTCCTTCTATTCATATTACTGTAGGTAACAACATCGTTGATGTCGTCGTTGTTGTTGTTGACATTAATGTTGTTGTTAGTATTGTTGTTGTTGTTGTCGTTGATGTTAATGTCACTGATGTAGCCGTAAGATGATGTTGGCAGCGTGTGTTGAAATTGTTGCTGCAGCTGTTTTCTTTGCTGTCTATTATTATTAATGTTGTTGTTGTTGTTGTTGTTTAATGTTGTCAAACTTCTTGCCGATCTAACTTCATGGCTTAGGGATTTTGTAGATTGCGATTGTCGTTGATGAAGCGACTGTTGTTGCTGCTGCTGGTGGCGTGGCTGCTGATGCTGCTGCGGCAAATATTGCAGAGAATACTGATGCTTCAAGTTGCCAGCAGCAGACGCTAGAGTTACAAGTGTTGATGTCATCGTCATCAGTATCGTCATTATTACGTCATCGCTATCATCATCATCATCACGCCATCATCATCATCATCATCATCATCATCACCATAATAACAGCCACCATCACCATCGTAATATATAAATGTAATAAATAAGTAATTATAATTAATCTTATAGTTCTTATCACTCACTCTTATAATAATGTCAACAACACAAATTTAACAATCCTAATTTTATTAACGAACAGAATTTACAAACAAAGCAGTGGAAAAACAACAACAATAGATACAAATAAACAAAAACATACAAGCAGCAGCACAACATACAAACAAACAAAAACATACAAACAAAAAACAAAAACATACAAGCAGTAACATAACATACAAACAAACAAACGACAAAACAAACATGTTGTAGTAGGCTGTGATGTTGTTTGTGAAGTAGCTATCATCGGTCTGGTCCAACTTGTAGCCTTCTGCCACTTCAAAACGAGAAACTTCAACCTGTCGAGTCGAGTTTTTTTTTCAGTGTTGTTAAAATAACTAAACGGATGACTAAAAACAAACAAACAAACAAACAAATTAACAAAATAACAAACGAACGAACGAACAAACAAACACGAACAAACACAAACAACAATAATTCAAACAAACCTCAATATAGCAACAACAGCCCACGCCGCACTTCTGAACTTCGACATCAAACTCAAACTCTGACCTCTGACCCAACTACGCCGACACCGGATCAACGTGCGATTGATCCCGCTATCATTGACATTCAAATCAACAGCCATCACACCGTCTACATCGCCAGGATCGCTACCGACTAGGCTACAAACACTGCTATTACTGATATCACCATTGCTAGCGATATTGAAGTTACTGTGATGACGATGATGAGGATGTTGTTGGTGATGGTGGCGAGCAAGATTGGTGATGTGATGGATGGAGTTGATGGTGTCCAGTTCGGCGTGTTTGTAACCGGAAATAATGGTCAGGAGGTAATTTTTCTGGAAGATGAGTGACTTTCGGTGCGACTCTGATCTCAAATATTTGCCGTATAAACGCTGGATCTGTGGTTGTGGTGGTCAGTTGGTTGGTTATGTGTATGCGTATGTGCGTGTGTGTGTGCGTGTACTTGCTGGGTTAATGTGACACGCATGTGTATTTCGTTGTTGTTCAACTGAGTATGTTGCTGTTGTTGTAGTTGTTTATAAATGTTTATTATTACTGTTGTATTGTTGTTAACGTTTGTTGATGGTATTTTAAATTGTGTTGTTGTTTGAAGTTGTACAAACATCCTCAACAAAACACTAACACATACGCTACATCGAAAGAGCGCTCACAATCTAAGATTCAATCAGTTTACATTTTTACATAATTGATTTGTGTGGTGAGAGGCAGAACTAATGTGAAAGTACTGAAAATCGCTCCAAGCCTTATTAGCGCTAATCATGTGAAATAGTTCACTATGATGGTATAATTTATAGATTTAGGAATAAAATAAAATAACGAAACAATAGAAGATAATAATAATAATAATTAACAATAATAATAACAACAACAAATATTATTATTATTATTATTAAAATAATCTTGTGAAAGCTGATGAACGCAACAACCAAAATCTAAAAACAATCGTAATATAGCCACATAATTTTGAAGGCAAAACAACAATAATAACGATAACTATCGTTATTATTATATTTATAATTATGTTTATTGTTATTATTATTATTATTAATATTATTATTATTATAATTATTTGAGGTTATGTACCTCTACGTCAGCACCGTAATCCAAGTGAAGAGATGTCTGCTGCAATGGGTGTAAGCAACCAGAAAAAATAACACATAAAAATTAGTAAATCACCCTTTACGTAATACGGAAATAATAATAATAATAATAATAATAATAATAATAATAATAATAATAATAATAATAATGACAATAATTAATCGCAAATGAAAAAAAACAAAAACGACAACAACAAACAACAACAAACCTTTTTCCTATCAGCAACCACTGGGCCATGCAACTCGTTGTAGGCATTGCTGTTGACCTTCAAACCGACGTCACTGTGACGTGCGAATGACGTCATCACCACCCCGTCATCGTCATCGTCGTCGTCGTTCTCATCAATTAACATTCTGTTATCTGTATTCATGTTGCCGTGGGCTTCTTGTGGATGCTTATTTAGATGGAGCTGGTCATTTCCATTCGTCCATTTGTTATTTCTCACTTCGGCCCATCGTCTTTGTTGTTGCTGATGTTAAGTGTGTGCGTGTGTGTATGTGTTTATGTGTGCGTGTGTGTGTGTGTACGTTTGTTTTGTGTGCGTGTGTACATTTAATAAATAAATGGATGAATGAATAATTGAATGAATAAATAAATAAGTGAATAAATGGATGAATCAATGAATGAATCAATGAATGAATCAATGAATGTATGTACGCATGAATGTACCACTGAATGAAACATAAGAAATTACCGTATTACTGTTGCCACCAATCACGTCGTTGTTGATGTTGCCAATGTTGTTGTTGACGTTGCCAATGTTGTTGTTGATGTCGCCGACGTCGTTGCTGTTGGTGTTACAGAACCTCTGAATGTGTTGGGTTAGCTGATTGTTGTGTAGCAATATTTTGTCGTTCAGCATTTCGATATCGTAATTTGCTACTGCAGCCGTTGATGTCAGCTGTCGAAACGTTGGAATATAAAGAGTGTTGTAGACAACAACGACGACGACAACGACAACAACAACAACAGCGACGACAACAACAACAACGACAGTGACCACGACAACGACAACAACAACAACAACAACAGCGACGACAACAACAACAGCGACAACGACAGCGACCACGACAACGACAACAACAACAACAACAGCGACGACAACAACAACAACGACAACGACAGCGACCACGACAACGACGACAACAACAACAGCGACGACAACAACGACAGCGACCACGACAACGACGACAACAACGACGACAACATTACCTCCAAATTATTAATGGTCCTAGTAAAATCAGTCAGGACATCGTTCAGCAACCCAGCACATTCCATTGACATTTGGACCCTTGGTGAGAAAAATTTATCTAAATTGTTATAAAAAATATAAAAAACATAATAAAATATATTCAATATATTATTCATAATTATAGTTAATAATCATCATAAAATTATAATTATCATTAATAATTCTCTCTTAATTAATTACGAATGATATTGACGACAAGCACAGCACATGGTGCATGTGATAGCTGGAGATCTTCCTCCATTAGAGGCGTCTCAACTCAACCTTCACCCCAGGGCGACACCAAATAAAGTAGAGCATACAAACATCTTATCCCTGGTCAGAATCTGATAGAGTTGAAGTTTCTGCCTCAGAAGTTCCAGCTGTTTCATTAGGAATAATTTATCGCTACTCATCAGCGATGATGGTGCAGCTGCTGAAGCTACCGCTGCTGAATATGATGTCTGTAGAATTGACATTTATTATCATCGTTATTATCACCATCGTTATCGTCATTAATCATCATCATTGTTTACCAATGTCACCATTATGTATATGTCATATACTGACAACATCAATCAATCAGTACAGACAGTATGGTTATATTATTTCAACAGTAGCAGCAGCAAATCAAACCTTCCGATCAGCTTGCTTGATCTGCTGTTCGATGTTATCCAGTTTGACCTTGATGTCATCCAGCTGCTTCTGCAAGCTGTCCTTCTGCTGGTTGCTGTTTGACAGCTGCTGCTGTAGTGATGCTAATTCTTGGGTTAGGTTGGATTTCTCTGACTGTATGATATACGGTGATGATTAGTTATAAAGATGAAGGCAATGAGAATGGTGATAATAGATAGAAATAAAGTCATCAAAATTTCGAAAAAAGATCACCAAAATGACCTCATAAACTTCAAGTAGGTCAAACATTTTCTTCATGTCTGACTTCATTTTCGTTCGGTCCTCAAGCAATCTCTCTATCTTCTTACCGAACTCCAGGTTCTGTGACCTCTCGACGTCTATAGAAGCCTTGAGGTTAACGAGGTCATCTTGGAGTCTGTTACGTTCTTCTACGAGTTTATCTCTCTCTTGCTGAAACGTTTGTTGTTGCCATTGCTGTTGTTGTTGAGACGGGGCTATTGAAACCTGAGCTACAGTTTTGCAGCCATTCAGATCAGCTTTCAACTTCTCAACCAGCGTTCGAGCATCTTTGTACTTTCTGCTGAGTCGTTCCATCTTCAGCGTTGACACCTGCGTTATGCATGGGTTCCATTGGTGGTAAACAAAAAAGAAACTCTAATTATGTTAACAAAAAAAGTAAAATTTTTGACATCATAAATACCACCATCACACTCACCTCCTCCTCTATCTTCAATCTCTCCTCCAAAACTTTCTTTTCCTCCTTCATTCTCTCCATTTCTGTCATCCACCGTTCCTTCAGTTCTTCCATCTCGATGCTCTTTTTCTCCAGGCTCTCAAGAAACTGACAGTCAGATAGGGAGAGTACACGCATGGCTTCCGAGTGTAACTTTCGTAGGATTGACTGCAAGTGAGTATGAACATGTGTGCGTGTGTGTGTGTGTGTCTGTCTCCGTATATTTGTGCGTGCAAGCGTGTCTCTGCATCTGTACGCCGGTGTGCACGTGTACGTTCACGCTTTTTGCCTTTTGTTTGTATGAATGCAGACTTGTGTGAGTGTTTTGAGTAATAAAACACATTTTTACAACCATACACACACAGACACAAACACAAACATAGACACACACAGACACAAACATAGACACACACACACACACACACACACACACACACACACACACACACACACACACGAAAGAAACATACGAGCAGGTCTTCAGATAGCAATTCATCAAATGTCGTCGTTGTTGTCGTGTTTGCTGTTGTCAGCGTATTGTTGTGACTTAGCACTGATAGTAACGCCTCCTCCTCTGCATCCACAACATCTGGGAGAAAAATATTTTAAAGAAAAAAAAATTGGGGATTGAAAGATTCTGAAATTAGAAAACAATTATAACGTAATTAAAAAAAAACCTCTGATATTAGTTGATGATTTATTTTTCTGAAGTTGCTGTTGTTGTTGTTGCTGCTGCTGCTGTTGTTGTTGCTGCAGTTGTTGTTGGTGCTGGAGTTGTTGCTGAAGATGTTGCAGTTGTTGTTGCAGATCCTGAACTTGTTGCATGAATTTGTCTATTTGTTGCTCGTGCGTTTCACTCAACTCCATAACATTCGACTCGTGGATTAACTTCAACGCCTCAATCTCGGTTTTTCTGTCAGAACCGAGTCTATCCAGAGACAAACAAACCTGAGAAAAAATTAAAATAGCTTTATCTTTAACGTTACTTTACAGCCTTTTTGTTAATTTCAAAATTTGAAAAATCATGAAAACTTTGATTGGTGAAAAAGCGAGATTTAAAAATAAAAAATGAAGAAAAATTGTAAACAAACATCATCGTATTTATCAGCAGATTCTAGTAGCTGTTCTCTGAGATGCTCAATTTGCGTCAGGTAGGTCTGCAGTTCATTTTCTTTCGAGATCAGTGAGGCATTCATTTGTTGCAACCTTTCAGCGTTCTGTTGAATCACGTTCTCAACATTTTCTTTCGACTGTTGCTCAACACCTGCTAGTTTAACTTCCAGATTATCCAACTTTATTTTTAAATCGTTTCTCTCAGCTAATATTTGATTACAAGTATCCTTCATTTGTTCTAATTCCGTTCGTTTATTCCTCAACAAATCAGTTGAAGTTTCGTGGCGTTTTTGAAGGTCGTTCAACAATTTTTGCGAGTTCTCCAACAGTTTTTCTGTATTGTTGACTGAATTCTCTAAGGTTTCTATGTGAGATGTCAAGTTATCGTTCTTCTGCAGCAGGTCTTTGTTGACTTGTTGCAATTTCTGGTTGATCTCCTCTTGGTTCAACAGATCGAGATTTTTTGTGGTTATTGTTGTGGAGAGTTTTTCAACATTTAACGTGCTCTCATCGAGTTCCCGTCTCAACCTTTCAACTCCATCCGTCAGGGATCTGATCTGATCATCCTTCACCTGCAGCAACAACCACAAATAAAAAAATTTGTCAACACTGGAATCAGCCAAACAAAGCATCAATATTTTTCATAAAAAATTTTAATTTACAGCTCTGAATAAAAAACAAGCCCACGTTCGGACAAACATTTCTGAAGAGATTACAGCCCAGAGCAAATTGAATAATTTAAACTAACAAACAAATTCATTTAAAAAAGTTAACTCAAAAATTGGAGCCAAATTAACAAAAATAACCCTAACAACTAACTATCACATATTCCGAAACCAACCTCAATAACATGTTCGAGCTGTGCTACACTCAACCTTGTAGCATCCAACTCATCACTAGTTCTCTGATCTACCACGTGACTCAACCTCTCGATGACGTCATTAAGTTCCGTCTCCTTGACCTTCAACATGTCCTTGAGTTTTCTCAGTTCTAGGTCGCTTGAAGATATCGTCTGCTCTAGTTTCAACTGTAAATTAAAGGCGAAAGTTTTGTTATAAGCGAGTGAATTGAAGAAAAACAAGCAAACAGATAAACATCGAGACACAGAGGGAGAAAGAGAGAGACATACAACCAAGCAGACAGACAGACCTTCAACTCATCAATCACTAAGTTAAGTGATTGATTTTCACTGATCTGCTGATCGAGTTGTTGATTGAGTCGTTTGATGGTTGACTCCTTATCCTCGATCATGTTGGCCAGTTCAGTAAATGTGTTTACATTATAACGGGAGAGGTCTTCCTGAGTTATAGGCTAGTGGGATTTAACCATTTTGTAATTATAATCAGTAAATTATGAATAATAATAACGAATAATAAAAATATAAAAGCCATAATTACGAAGCCAGTGTGAACGTATAAAAATTGTATCTCTATAAATAACCTAACCATATCACTGTTGTGTGTATAGTCATCATTGATTGGTGACAACATCTCGCCCAAATCTTCCACCATTCCGTTCTCACCGATCCCACTCCTTCCTTCATTTCTTCTCCTTCCTACAATCTGTTCATCACCGCCATCGTCATCATCATCGACAACCATCAAAACTGTCTCTTCGTTATTATCATCCATCATTGCTTTTGCCTTTAAACTATTTTCAAAATGAACTTGGGAGAATTTGTCGGCGGAAAATGCTATCCCGTCCTTAGAAATCCCGAGATTATCGGTGGAAAATCCCAAATGATGGCTGATGCCGATGTGTTGCAGTTGGCTGACGCTGGTGCTGTTGTCTGATTTCCTCAAAATTTCAGGAGTGTTGTACGATAGGGCTGCGCTGTTGTTGATGTTGTTGGCTGTTGTTGCTGATGACGTCGTCGTCGTCTGCAATGACCTGCATCTTGACTGCGAAAGTGTTTGTCTTCTCAGTTTTAATAAAGAAAATTCAATAGAAATCTAACGCTGATAATGAACTGCAAATTCTGCTGCACCCAGACTTCAAAAAATATTAAGATATTAAAGAACATAAGGACGGCGACAACACATCAACAACCAAACTATCTCACCACCACCACCAACAACAACAAAACCAAAAACAACGTCAACAGCAGCAACGACAACAAAACCAACGCTATCAGCCAATTGGGACGTGAGCTGTTGAACCTGCGACCTTAAGCTCTCGACCTCTGCACTCAACTCATCTATGCAGTCGTTCTTCTCGTCGATCAAGGCCTCATTCAACAACATCATCGATGATTCATTTGGTGATGATTTTGTTGTCGTCGTGGCAGTTGATGACGTTGTCGCCAGTTTCAGTGTATCTATGGTCTTTGATAACTCCTATAGGTAATATTAGAAGTTGAAGTTGTCGATTAATTTATCCTGATAAAAGCTTCTGTGAAAATGGCATATGACCATTTAGCATATGATGGCAGAGAAGAAAATGATGATGAAAATAATTAACTCCAATAATAATGGCCATGAAAATTCAGTCAAATAATTACAAACATGATAATTAATAACATCCCCATTATGATTGGGTCAAATCAACAAACCATTGAACCGACCTCATTTTTAAACTTCAGAATTACAGTCTGGTCGGATAATTTTTTGTTAAGTTCTGTCATCCTTGTATGATTCAACTTTTGCTCATTCACTTCGTCCATCAGTCTATCCATCATTTCTTTATCGTGGACATGCTTCTGCGTTGTGTCTGTCAGTCTGCTGGTTAGGTCGTTAATCTGGGTGGGGTCAAAAGTTAGGTCACTGTGATCTAAAAATTCGAATAACAATGCTACTGCGATCACATGACATTATCACCATCTGTATCACATTATCACATCACTTTACACATCATTCCCATCACATCATATCCTCATCTGTGACATCATCCAAACTTGTTTATCCTTCTCTTCGATCATCTTCTTCAAGTCCAAATCACCACTACCGCCATTGACGACGACGTTATTACTAACGCCACCACCACCCCCAGCGCTGGCAAGAGCCCTGCCATATTTATCGAGACACCGTTCCTCTGCCAGGTGCTTCAAGTTCGACAGCTGAATCAACTGCTCGACTGATTGTTTGCCCAGGATCTCGTGATCCATTTTCAAGTCCTGGTCGGTTTGGGCACGGGATGAAATAAATGTAAAATATAAAAACACACACACACACTCACTCACACACACACACACACACACACACACACACACACACACACACCCATGTTTACGCACATGTACGAACCTGCATTTTGGATTCGACAATCTTCAGGTCTTCCTTAACTTTACCCATCTCTGCCTTTAAACTAATCTCAGCAGCTTTCGACGTTTTCAATTCCTTCTCCAAAGAATCAATAATTTCTTTCAAATGGTGTATTTCATCGTCTTTGCTGGCGTCGCCGTCGTTGACGTCATCGTCGTCGCTATCGTCGGCTGGCGAGTGTTTATTCCCAGCGTTCACGTTCGATTGGTATCTCTCTTTCTCAATCTTCATCTCTTCCAGTTGCTACGTTTATACGTTAACAACATTTTGACCAAAAAAAAAAACAAAAGACAAAAATAAAAAAAAATCAAGCAGCATAAAATCAACTATCAACAAAACAGCAACATTAAATGAAACATCAACAAATCCTCTACAACTTACCAAAGACAATTCCTGCTCTCTCCTACACTTCTCTGATAACTCATTTTCGAGGGCACGAATGCATTCTCTCAACTCTGCCACGGTGCCTATCTGCTGGTTTAGATCCAACTCCACCACCTCCTTCAAATTCAGCACGTTCGCATATCCGTCAATTTTCTCTTTCAATTGCTCCTCCAGGCTCTCAATCTGTATTAGACGAAAGTGAATAATTCATAAATGTAATTTTAAAATATAAAATTTTTTTAAGACTTTTGAATAATAAAATGATAATTAATTTTTTTATTTTTGCTAAATTTCTGTCGTCATCACGATTAACACCATCGTTACCACCATCATCATCATCCTCATCATCATCCTCATTATCATCATCATGACGTACCTCTTTCTTCATTCTCTGGTGATTAGAGCTGAGTTTCTCACTATCTCTCAGAGCATCCTCCATCATCTTGATCCTTCTCTGGAATAATTCTGCCTCTTCCTCGCGCTCGTTCGTCTGGTCCTAAAGATGATGATGATGATGGCGATCATGGTGATGATGATAACGATCATGGTGATGATGATAATGATGGATGATTGTGATAATAATGATGATGATGATGATAATGACGATCACGATGATGATGATGATGAGTGATGATGATGACGATCATGGTGATGATGATGGGTGATACTGATGACGATAAGAGTGATTATTATGGTGGTGAAGTAATAATCAGTGAGACACATTTTTCACCGGGCAATGTTTACATGACTGTTTTCTCAATCAATGCCTCTTGTGGTACAGAAAATGTGAAGAAACATACACAACACACGTCAATGCATACACACACACACACACATACACGCACACACAAGTATACACGTATACACGCCACACACACATTTATAGGTAACCACATGTTTGTATGTATGCATGTGGGTATACACGAATTTCTGGTTGCCAATGAAAACAAAAATGAGTACAGGTTTCTTATTTGTTTGAACTCATCAAAGAGATACACTGTGTTTTGTATGTACGTGTGTATGTACGTGTGTACATGTGTGTATGTACGTATGTGTGTGGGTGAAGAAACTTGGGAGGGTTATTTTCACGGCAGTTTGTGACAAAGAATGGAAAAAAATATAAGATACCTGAACAGACAATTGAATGAATGAACGAACGAATAAATGAATGAGTGTATGGATGGATGAATGAATAACAAAATAAATGAATGAATGAAAGAGGGAAGGAAGGAATGAACAAATGAACAAACGAATGAATGAACAACTCATGAATTAGACCCTAGCCTCGATGAACTTCTTATCAGACTTGAGTTGTTTCTCCAGGGCATCCATCCTCATCTTGGCGTCTCGAGCAGCCACTTCGCCTTCCTCCTTCAGCTTCTCTACCTGCTTGCTCAGCTGCTCGTTAGCTGCTTCCAGCTCCTTCAGCTGCATTTCGAACAGCTGCTTGTCTCTCGATAGACGCCTGCTCATGTCGCGACAGTCGTCTGATAGCTTCATATTCTCTCGGAGAAGTTCTATGTAGAGACGATGATGACGACGACGAGTAAGTTAGTGATGATGACGATGACAAGAAAGATGACGACGACGATGATGATGATGATGATAACGAGTAAGATGATGATGACGATTAAAGATAAATAGATGAACGATCATTATATGACCAAATATGGATGGATTGATTAACACTGAATAAATCATGAACCAAAAATAAAGGTAAAACAGAAAGAGAAAGAGAATTCAATAGAACATTGAAAGATAAGTGAACGAGTGAATGATTAAATGAATAAATAAAAATGAAACCAGCTCAATCAACTCATTCATTCGCCCATTTATTCACTCCATCAATCATTCTACTAATAAATATAATAATCATGCAATCTTAATAACCAACTGATCAACCAAACGACCGACCGACCAACCAACCAACCAGCCAGTCAGTCAGCCAGCCAACAAGCCAGCCAGCCAGCCAGCCAGTCAGCCAACCAACCAATCAACCAACCAACCAATCAATAATGTTGAATAAACCTAACAATAACATAGCATAGTTGAAATTTGAAGGAAAAAAATACTAATGGCCGAAATAAATAAATGCATGCATAAATTAAAATAAATAAATGAAAAAATAAAAAAAATAAAAAGATAGGACAGTTACAGGCATTTAGTAGGTTGTGAAATAACACAAAATCATTAATCATTGCAATTAAAAATACACTGAATGCCATCATCATCATCGTCGTCATTATCATCATCATCGTCGTCATTATCATCATCGTCGTCATTATCACCATCTTCTACTTCAACATCTTCATCATCATCATTTTTATAACAATCAATATAAAATCTAGTGGCGAACGTATAGCATACGAATAAGGCGTTATTACCATTTCAAGAATACAACAGACATGTTAATATTATTTATAATTATTATTTATTATTATTATTTATTATAATTTAGTGTTTTTGGTATTTTTTCTGCTATTTACCTTCCTGTGTAGGCAATTCTAATAGTTTGAAAATTTAATAAAATGAATGAATAAATAGATGAATAAATTCACGAGTTCATTCGTGCATTCGTTAATTCGTTCGATAACTCTTCAAACGTATGTTTAGTCATTTTCACACACCCAACTCATTCTTCCTATCATTCATTCATTCATTCATTGACTCGTTCATTCATTCATTCATTCATTCATTCATTCATTCATTCATTCATTCATTCATTCATTCATTCATGTTGCGTAACATGTGACAATGAAACGAGCTTTAAAATCAATCTACTGAGAAATCATTTTGAAATAAAAAACAAGTAATAATTAAGTACAATAATAATATATTATAATTATAATATACTATATAATAATAATAATATCAAACATAATAGTGAAAAATAAAAACTATAAAGAAAAAACAATAGTAATTGCTGCAATGCAATCATCAACCATATCGAGAAAAAAATTCACAAACACACGCACACAAACACACACAGTACACACACACCCATACACACACACACACACACACACAAACACGCACAAACGCGCACAAACCTTGCGTGGCAAAATCCGCAGTCTCATTGAGTATAATCTCTCTATTCTTTTCTAGCTCCTTCTGCTTCAGCTCCAAGTCCTCGTGACACCTCTTATAGGATTCCAACTCGATCTCGACCAGTTCAGAGGACCTGACGAGTTTCTCGTGTTTCTCTTCTAGGGCAGCTATCGTCCGCTCCAGAGCCAACTTTTCCAAAGTTAGTCCGTCGATTAGTGCTGGATTAATTGGCGATGATGAAGTGGGTGATGTTTGTTTGTTTGTATTTGTTGTTTGTTTGTTTGTATGTACACACCAACAAACGACAACAAACTACAACAACAAACATCCACAAACAACAACAAACAAACATCAACAAACAAACATCAGCAAACATCAACAAACAAACATCAACAAACATTGAGTTTTAGATAGATCGAGAGAGAACTTCTGCCTTTCATGGACAGGTTAACATTCAAATGTTCCTTCTCGGCTTTGGCCACATCTAGATCTTCAATAAGTTTCTCCAGCTGTTGAGCTGTTTGCTGATACTTGCTGTCACATTCTTCTATGTAGCCAATCATGTATGTTATGGCCGTCTGAAGTCTTAAAACCGAATCTGTCCGTGCGTGCGTGTGTGTGTGTGTACGTGTGTCTTATGTAGATTTTGTGTAAAAACGCGTCACACACAACTGCAAAAACAAAAGAAGCCAAATCAAATCAAAAAGAGAGAACAAAAAGTTAACTGACTAGTTAATACTTCACCACATTTGTGGTGTGACGTCACGTCGCCGTCATCATCATCATCCTCATCAGCCACGTGATCACCGTGCACGTGACCATCATCACTATCCCCATTGCAACAACGGTCGGAAAGTATACTGTTGATTAATCTTTCAGTTAAGTCGGCTGGTGGTTGCTGATGTGATTTGCCGCTGGTGCTGTTGTTAATGTCGTCGTCGTTGTTGTTCTTGTTGTTGTAGTCGTCGTATAATATTGACAGCAACGACCCAGCCTCTGTTTTAGTGTTCGGTTTGTTATAATTGTTGAGACGAAAAAACAAAGATGAGAATCACAAAATTAAACCTTATGAAAAAAAAACTTGAACGACAAACAACAAACACCAAGACCAACAACAACACCAACACATCACCCCCACCCCCACCAACAACATCACCACCACCACCAACAACAACAACAAACAACAAACCAGAGAAATTTCCATCCAGAGACTGCCGGATAAAGCTCTCAAACTCACTACAGCCTTGTTGTTGTGACGGCAAACAACTAAATCGTTGTTGTTGTAGTTGATAATTTTCAGTTGCTACGCTACCGTTGCCGTTATTAATCTTGCTATTATCCTGGTTATCATTATTTTTATTCTTATTATTTTTCTGTGTATTATTATTATTCTTATTATTATTATCATCAACATCGTCCTCGTTGTTATCATTTACATAACTTCCATCATCATCATCATTACCGTCCCCACCACCATCATCATCACCACCATCATCATCACCACCATCACCATCATCATCGTCATCATCATCATCACCATCCCCATCACCACCATCATCATCACCACCATCATCACCACCATCATCATCACCACCATCATCATCACCACCATCATCACCACCATCATCACCACCATCATCATCACCACCATCATCACCACCATCATCATCACCACCATCATCATCACCACCATCATCACCGTCGTCATCAAACTTAATTAAATTCCAACTGACATTATTTAGGTCTTCAACTCGTGTTTCACTACCATCATCATCATTACTATTGCTACTATTATTATTATTATTATTATTATTAGTATTAGTATTATTATTGTTGTTGTTGTTGTTGTAGTTGTTAATACTTTTGGTAAATATTTTATATCTGTTGAAGAACTCGGCGACAGTTTTTTCAGATTCCAAGCTTACTCTCACCGATTCAGAGAGAATCCTGTGCAGTAGCTCGTTCGTCACTGTTAAAGACTCCCTACAAAAAAGGAATAATAATAATGATTATTATTATAATAACAATTAATAATAATAATGATAATGGGGACATCCTTTTGTTTCCATTTAAAAACATAAATTGTAATTATAAAGTTAAAATAATAAATCGGATAATGTAAATTATATAGATATTCTACAATGCTCGCCACACATTTTAAATGGGCAAAAAGAGAAATAGAGTCAGCATTAAATTATGTTCAAATCGGGTTCCTATTACAGTAAATTGCGTAAGATGACGTACTACGGAATTATTTAAACTTCTATTAAAAGGGTCAGCCCAAATAAAATTAATTAATGATAGTTTAAAATATTTAAAAAAAGACCTAGCGGGAAAATTAATAATAATAATAATAATAAATAATAATAATCTAATTATTTAAAGATGAAACTGTTTTTGGTTGCTAAATACGGTGATGACGGTGAAACAAATAATGACCAAAGCGGGGTTATTGGTGGTTTTAATCATAATGGTAAAATTTAATCTACTACTGCTGTTACTACTACTACTACTACTACTGCTAATATTACTACTGCTACACTACTACTACTACACTACTACTACTACTGCTGCTGCTGCTGCTAATATTAATACTACCACTATCAATATCAATAATAATATTCTTAATAATAATAATAAAAATAATATTATTATTATTAAAGTAATTAAATTACTTTTTCAACTTGGTGTCATTCATCAAATCCAGAGTATCATTAAATGGTTGTTTGCTGATGCTGTCTGAATTGTTGGCATGGGTGACATTAACATTTTCGTCGTCATCAACTATGATACTATCCTTACTGTTAATGATATCATCAATCACATCATCATTAGTGTTGTTGTTAGTGTTGTTTTCATTCATGTCGTTGTTGTTGTCGCCGTCTGGCATTGTTAAATTGACGTTGTCGTTGATGTTGTTGATGTTATCATCATCTAGCGCTGACGTGCTTATGATATGGTTGTTGGTGGCTGTCAATTCATCATTGATGCTGATGTCATCAGCATCAATGTTATCATCGTTGTTGCTGTTGACGTTGTTGTCAGTCAAGGTCATTATCAATTTCTCTTGTCCCTTTACTTTCTATCCGTTCAAAAATAAACAACAAAAAAAGACAATCTAGAAACTTGAATTAATTAATTAATTAAGAAAAAGAGGCAAAATTAAGAAATTCATTAGGAAATAAGTTAATAAGCTCACAAAATCATACACACACACATACATCCATTAAAACCAATAAATTAAATTGTACATGCGCAATAAGTAAACAAATAAACACACACACACACGCACACACACACCACACACGCGCGCACACACACGTACACACGTTAATAACAACATTAAAATATATAAATACCAAAATACGCATGCAAATACTTGTAGAAAAGCATAACAACAAATACAACTATCTTAATATGCTTATAAACAATCCTTTGGTTAAGAATTGTAAAAATTTGGTAGGCAAAATTGTTAGCACAAATTTTCAAACTACATCATAATAAAAATAATTATACCAGTATTATTATTACTATGATTATAATTATGGCCAGGCAATTAATATATATATATAATCAAATATTAATGATTAAGCAAGGCAGATTTAAGATTATAAGATTGTTAGTTCAGTGGTGTCCCATCTACACATCTTACTCACACCAACACCATCATTGCTACATCATTGCAACTATATAAGAACAAATAAAAAAGACACACTTATCTAGCATGAAGACAAACAATAAAGATATGATTAGATACGTAGATACAAACATTTGAGAATGATATACAAATGTAAAAATGTTGGTAGGAGACCATAATTTACACAGTATTGTATGAATTCTATCGAATTGTTGTAACGTAAAATGTAATGTTGAAATGTGAAGATGCAAGCAAACAAAAAGGATACAATGGGATAAAAATAGATACATAGATACAAAGATACAACATGATACTGAGATACAAACCTCCTGCAGAATGTCAATCATCTCTATCTTCTTTCTCATTTCATCTTCAAACACCCTCCGATCCAGTGGCGATGATAATGATGTCTTCAATTTTTTAATTTCATCACCATCATCATCAGCATTATCATCATCATTATAATTAGTAGTAGTAGTGGTAGTAGCAGCAGTAGCAGCAGTAGCAGCAGTAGCAGCAGCAGCAGTAGTAGTAGTAGTAGCAGTAGCAGCAGCATCATTATCGCCAGCAAGAATGACGTCACTTGATTCGTTCAGTCGTTCCTTCAATTCTTTTATTTCCTTTTGCAATTCGTCAACCAACTTCAGTGACTTCCTCAACTTTTCTTTATTTCCACGATCATCATCATCATCACTATCATCGGCCTCATCGTTGATATCACGTCTACTGGTGATATATTTATTATCATGCGCTAAAAAATGATCGGTTTTAGTCACAACTTTATCACCATTATCATTATCATTCTTAGTAATTTTCGTCTTATCCTCATCTTCTTCTTTTTCTTCTTCATCATCGTTTAATTTCATCCTTTCTGCATTATCATGACTGATAATGTGTTTTGCAATGGTCTTTACTTGCTCTTTGATAAGGTCAATGTTATCGGGGGTTATCTTCAAATCGTAGCCAATCAAAACGCTCGATATAACGGATGATAGTGACGTAATTTCAACGGCTTCGGCAACCATTTCAGTGTATTTAGTTATGTGATTATCACCAATGACGTCATCTCTTATTGGTGGTTTAACGTCATCATCTTCGTCAGCTTTATACTCTTTGAAAAATTTCTCATCCAACGTTTTGCTGTTATCATCATCTATATCATTTCCCTCCTCCTCATCATCATCTTCTTCTTCATCGTCTACATCGCCTTCACCATCATTAGTGTTCTCATCATCAACCTCGCCATCATCATCGTCTAAAGATAAAGCCTCATCATATAAGAACCTGGCGTTGCGTTTTTTAGCGTCATCACCTTCATCATCATCAATTTCATCTCGGGCTGTTGCTATAGCCACATCATCACCAGAAAAATCATCACTAAGAACGCCATCTTTCTTATCATTTTTACAATGGCCACCGTCATCATCAACGGTGATAATATTGCTAGCTACATCATCTTCATCATCGTCATCCTCCTTTATGACGACACTATCAGTGACGTCATTGATGAGTTGATCAAGGATGTGTTTAGATAGTACACTGGCTTCGTCGTCGTCATCATCATCATTATCATTTTCATCACCTTTATCATCATCATTATTACCGATTTCAACAAGGTCGTTTGTGATCATCAAGTCGACCTCATTTGCGACGTTGTTATTGGTTGTAATTAGGTCACCACTGTCGACCTCGTTATCAGCGTGACTCATGTCATTCGTTACGTCATCATCGTCGTCTTCATCTTTAAAATCTAGAGACATGTTAGTGTGGGCTGCAGCCTTGCTAGTGTGGTCTTCAAACAATCTTTCCCACCTGTCACTCTTGAGAAATGGCTCCTCCTCCCCATCATCATCGTCGTCATCATCTTCATCATCATCATTATCTTCGCCATCATCGCTGTTACTCTTTGCGTTGTTGTTATTGTTAGTATTTTCGTCATCCTCAACTTTCTTAGACTCATCATTATCATCATCATCATCATCACCGACATCATCATCGTCGTCGTCATCGTCTTCATCATTTTCATCATGAGCATGAGTGTAATCAGTTTTATCCATAAGTCTCTGCATCTTGAGGTTATTTTCTTCACTGAGTTTGATCAACTCAACCGACACCCTCTTCTTATAACTCACATTTATATCATCTTTATTCTCTTTATTATCATCATCCTTATCATCGTTAGCTATATCACCACCATCATCATCATCACCATCATCAGCATTATCACGGCTGTTACCAAACTCAGTCACTCCTCTGCTTGCGTCAGTTTTACGGTCGTCACCATCGTCATCGTCATCTTCATCAATGTCACAGATGGCATCGCCATCCTCATCGTCGTCGTCGTCGCTCGTGATCGTGGGATCCTGCTCGTCCGAGAGTTTGTCGGTCAGCAGGTCATTGCCGTGCACACTCAAGATTTCCTCCAAGACACTCAAATTTTTCCCGCTGTTATCATCAAGGTCATCGTCATTCTTATCGCCATCACCATCATCTACGTTATTTTTAGCAATTTTATCATCGTTTATCTCTGGGTTATCATCATCTCTATCATCATCTCTATCATCATCTCTATCATTATCTCTATCATCATCTCTATCATCATCTCTATCATTATCTCTATCATCATCTCTATCATCATCTCTATCATCATCTCTATCATCATCTCTATCACCATCAGCTATATCATCGACCACATCATTAACTTTTTTCTTGCCAGTATCTCTATCGCTATTCTTATCATCATCATCGTCACCAACCTCATCACCCATATCAAAAACTATTAGATTATTAACAACATTATCGTCATCATCGTTGTTATCATCATCATCATCATTATTAACATCATTATCATCATCATTATTAACATCATTATCATCACCATTATTAACATCATCATCAGCGTTATCATCACCACTATCATCATCGTTATCACTCTCTTCAATGATACTCAAACGCTGTGCATACTCTTTGATCTGGCTATCATAACTAACACCGTACCCATCGTTATCACCACCATCCTCACCCCCATCATCATCAACTTCACCACCACGACTGGGTTTAAATTTATTATTCAAGAGGTTATTCTTAATCCTGGCAATTTTTGAATTTAATTCATTTACCAGTGCATTCAGTCGATCAATCTCTAAATCTCTGACTCTGATGACGTCATTAAGTTCTTCCAGTTTGACCTTAAGGTTAAGGTCAGTGTCGTTAGCTACTACTGCCACAATGTTGGAAGGTTCTTTTTCGTAGCTCTCTAATTTGCTCTTCAGGTGCAATATCATGTCAGATTGAATTTTTAACTGTTCGTCTTTCGCGAGGCAGTTTAGGCACTTTTGTGGTTGCTGTGGCTGTAGCTGTTGTGGTTGCTGTGGCTGTTGTGGTAGATGTGGCTGTTGTGGTTGCTGTGGCTGTTGTGGTTGCTGTGGCTGTGGTGGTTGCTGTGGCTGTGGTGGCTCGAATGTATCGGACATTTGATCTGGTGTTAATAGCGATTGCTGTTGTTGATCCTGTGGATTTTGTCGTTGATGTGATGGATTCTGCTGCTCACACTGGTGCTGATCAAATGTTTGCGGATAGATGAACTGATGCTGTTGATCCAGTTCAGGTTGTTGAGATGATTGCTGCTGTGGTGGTTGTTGCTGTGGTAGTTGTGGTTGAAGTTGATGTGGTAGTTGTGGTTGAAGTTGATGTGGTTGTAGTGGTAGCTGCGGCTGTTGATGTGTTGGGGTCTGTGATAGATCGGAATCAACAAGAGTGCCACCAGAGGAATGCAATGTTGTCGACTCTTTTAAACACTCCCTCAGGTAATCTACCTCCTCTGTTGATGGAACCATGTGGCAAACAAAGCATGATATACATATCATTCATAATTATCATGTCGATGGAACCATGTGGCAAACAAAGCATGATATACATATCATTCATAATTATCAGTCTACTGGTTTCCTCACTCACTCACTCACTCATTCATTCATTCATATATTTGATCCTTCATTCATTCATTCATTCATTCATTCATTCAATCAATAAATCATACATCCATTAATTTACTCATTCATTCATTCATTCATTCATTTGAACATTCAATCAAACATGGCTAATTCATTCATAAATTCATCTATAAATCACTGATCAATAAATATATATATATATATACATACACACACACACACACACACGCACGCACGCATACACACACACACATACCTCTATGTTTCGTGCATAGCCTATTAATTTCCTTCCTATGTGCTGCTTCCATGCTTGACATCATTTCACTGAACTTACTCAGGTTCTCTTTCAAAAGTTGCTCCTGTCATCATAATCATCATCATCCGTCGTCGTCATCATCATCATCCATCGCCATCATCATCAACATTACCAACATCACCGTCATCATCATTATCAACAACGTCGTCGTCATCATCAACGTCACCATAATTAACGTAATCATCATCATCATCATCACCACCATTGATATAGATATTACATATTATATTTTACTGCATAAATTAATGAATTAACGAAAGAAGGAACGGATTAATAAATGAATTAATCAATTAATTAACTTCATCAACTAACATAAAACATAACAAATCGGCTTAAATAATTACAAATAATTTCCCGATAAAATTTATTTAATTTCCACTTTCATAAAAACTCCGAAATATGAAAAAAAAAGTAGCGAATGGTTAATTGCAAAGATGAGCAGAAAACATCAAAGTTGAAGTTTGTCGGAGTCGGAAATTTTTTGAGGGAATAGAACTTGGGAAAGTTTTAAGAAGTTGAAATTCTTTCTATTTCATATTTTTAAATGTTTTTTTTTGTATAAAGACCCTGTTTTATAGATAATATATTTATTATATGTGTAGCGATACGCAATCATCTTTAGTACAAGAAATGGATCCTAATGACGTCAATAACGTCACATAATTTTCCCTAAGCATCTTTTAAAACGTAAGTACAAAGTAATTTTACTAAAAAAGACGATTTCATCGAATTGTATCTTTTACATTACATTAAAAAACAGCTACATTTTTGATGGTATCTTTCATTTGGTAGTGGTTTAAAAGTGAAATTATACTGCAAAAGTCAAAAAATTTTCCAGAAGTAGGACCCCTGGAGTCAGAAAACTTTCAGTGGAGTTGGAAAATTTTTTTTCAGACTCTGACGCTCTGAAAATACGTTAACAGTTATTTAACCGGTAACATGTAACAAATAATAATAATAAGTAATAATACAAATAATAATAATAATAATAATATAAAACAAATCAACAGAATTTTAAAAAAAAGCAAAAGCGATAAGGAGAAAAATGATTTCATTTCTTCAAGCAAAAATAAGTAAACAAATTAGTAAATGAATAAAAAATGAAATGAATGAATAAACGAACGAATGAATGAACGAATGAAAGAATAATTGAATGAATAATTGAATGAAACATGAAAAAATATATGGATGAATTTATAAATGAACAAACGAATGATTTATCTATCACCACTGAAAATATAACTAAAAAGCTATATGTAAGCTTTAGGCTATAATAATGGAGTAGGTACATCTTTTAACTAAGACAAATTAATTGTCTATCAATCCTAATAACACACACATACACACACACGCACAAACAAACACACATACACACACGCGTACGCACACACACACACAAACAAACACACATACACACGCATCAATATACACAAACATAGCGCACATGCACATAAGCTACAATGAACATGCACACCCACCAACAAACATATACACATAAACACACCAATACACATGCACGCACTCACACAAACCAATACACACACACACACACATTTTCTTTTTGAGGGTTTCCTCTTTCGATGATAACTTATTGATTATGCGTGAAAATAATTTTTCAGTTTTTTTGTAACTGGATAGACACACACACACAGAGAGTACAGTATTGACCTCCAGATTCCAGATCATATAGATATCAAAGAGATCAAAGATAAGATATATCTGAAAGATATATAAGATATATATCAAAGAGATGTTAATTTCAAAAGGAACCAATAAAGAATACGTCGTTCGCTTTCAATGACATCACGCCAGGTTGTGTAGGTACGTATGCCGTAGGGATGGACTTGTAAAAATCGCGTGATCAAAAGAAATGACTAGATATTGTTTATACACATAAACAGATGATTGATTGATTGATTTATTGATTGATTGGTTAATTTATTGGTAGGTTGGTTAATTTATTGGTAGGTTGGATAATTGATTGATACGCGTTTGGTTGGTTGGCTAATCGATTGGTTGGTTGGTCGTTTGTTTGTAAAAAAAAAGAGAAAATAATTAACTGGGAGAGAAGTACTAGGAATGTGTAGATGAATTAGAATGAATGAATAGGCAATGCCAATGAACACGATCGCACGCACAGCCACACACACACATATATACATATACACATACAAAAGGTATAAACACATCATGTCACATGCAGAGCAACAAAGCAGAGCAACATAACATACGATCTGGATCCGTTGCAATTAAAATCGGATCGGATCATGTATGTATGTAAATGTGCGTGTGTGCGTATGTATGTATGTATGTATATATGTATGTGTATGTATGTATGAATACATGTATATGTATGTATATGTATCTATGTGTTTGTATGTATGCAAACATAACAAGCCATGGGAAAAAAAGCTTGTATATAATACAGTGAAACCAAATAGGACAGAGATAGCGTGTGTAACTGAGTATAAAATATACATATTAACAACCACAAATAATCATAAAAAACATAAAAACAACAATAAATAAGAATGATATGAATAATAATAAGAATAACAGTAATAAAAATGATAATAGTAATGATAATGAAATAGCTACAAAAAAATAATCAGACAAATGTTATAAAGAGTAAGCTAAACTGGACTAATCCCCTTTAATTATTCAATTTAAATGAGTAAAGTTCAGTTGGCATGTGCTATAAATGTGATAATGATGATGACGACGATGATGATAATGAGGACGATGACGATGATGATAATGATGATTAAGATGATGATGATGACGATGATGATGATAAAGTTAGTAGGTAACATGAGTAAAAAGTGCTCTAACATTAAATATGTTGAATTTTACTCTACTTAACTGAATTTTTGAGTTTTTAGTGATATAATTTATATTTTATAAATACAATACGTATTTTATTATTTATTATTATATCATTCATTATTATTATAATTATTTGCTATTGTCATAATTATTTATAATATTTTGTCTTGACCGAGTTCACTTACGTTATTCCTAGCCACCAGATCGGTAATGGCGCTTACACCAAATTTAGTGAGAACAGTTGATACCTCGCACTAGTTGATCAATTTTTGTGTGCGCGTGTGTGTGTTTTTATTAAAATAATAATAAATAAATAATAATTATTTCTATTATTATAATTATTATTTATATATTTCAAAAGCAAAAACGGATTAAAATCAAAAATATAATTATTTAAACAAAAAAAAATGTTGAAAGGTAAAATAAATTTTAATCTACCTACATACTAACAATAAAATTAGTGAATACACAACACTATAATGAATAATTAAACAGTAGTGTAAAAGTGAAACTAGATTTTAATAGATTTTTGTGATTAGACTCTATAAAAATCACATAAAAAATTATTTTCATATGAATCATGAAAATAAAAATCTCTCTGCAATTCATGAAATTTAAAGTGAGCAGGTGTAACTGTCACAAGTGGTATGGCATAACTTAAATGCAGAAATAGTAGAGAAATAAATTTGCAGAGAAGAATTTCGTTGAAACTACGAAAAAATTTATTTAATAAAAGCTGTACAAGAAAAATTAGAAAAAACAAAAGATCTTTTTAAGATTATCATCATTCATCAAATTCTACCTTTATAGAAACTTCAACATTTTCAAGTTGCTCAAGTTGTGGATGGGTGGAAAATGAATCAATCCATCCATCTGCACCTTCCCCGATGCTTATACTGCCACCTTCTGAGAAGTTGCTCATTCCAGAGTTTCTCCCCCCTCCTCCTCCCCCTCCCCCACCCTTATCCAACAGCTGCAACAATTTTTTCCTCTTGTTTTCAAATTCAGTAGGTAGGGTTGACGAAGGTTTGATAGTGAAAGATTCATTCTTATGATCCTCTTGCATAGTCCAGAAGGTAAGATTGCCTTGTGAATTTTTCCTTTTTTCACTGGATGTACTCAGGTTCAAATCCACGTCTTCACTGGCGTCGATGTCATCCTCATCGTTGAGGGATATCATGTCATGCTGCCTGGTGTGCTGTAGGAACATCTCTTCATTTCTTGTGGAAGATAGATTTGGCTGGCCAAAACTGGAATTCAAATTTTTGCAGGCATCTTCAATGACACTGCTGGTGTATTCTTCAATTTCGTAATCATTCACCTCCTCCTCCTCTTCATCACCTCCTCTATCACTGGAAAAACTGTAGCGAATATTTCTATTTTCATCCAACTTCTCCACGATTTTACCTTTCTCTAATTCACCCAATGATTTCCTATTTGATTTTCTCTCTTCCATTTTTTTTAAATTTTCAAAATGATCAATACGCGGTTCAATCTCTTCGCTGTTGTATGTAAATTTACAGCCCAGTTGTGTTGTAGCAGCGCGTTCATCAGCCTAACATATGATGAATGAATTTGTATAAAATATTCATTTGTCATCCCCTCATATGACTGACGAATATACATAACATACACATACATACATACATAGACTAAACTAAAAAAACAGACAGTACGATTTGAACACGGCACACGCATATTTTAGTTATCATACATTATCTAACGAAAGAACTGCTAACTAAGCATATCAAATTACACAGGGTCAGCTAAAAATACTTTATTATTTGAAATCTGCGACAAAATTTAAAAAACACGGAAGCACGTGATGGAAAATATCTAAATAAATGAAATCAAACTACCTGGACGTCGGCCATATTTGAATAAACTATTACAATAAACGCGATTTTGAAGTCGAAATTCGTCAAAAAAAATGTCTTCAAAAGCGAAACCTCGGTAACTAACAAGCACAAAATGTAAACAATCACTTGGAACCGCCGTCGCGATAGAGCATTAGCAATCAGGCCATCAAAAGTGTTTAAAAATGAACTTATTTTCATCATAGCGTGCTCCTAAAACTAAACCGCGTATCTAATTTTGTTAAAATAACGTCAATTTGATAATACATTTTAATCATTTATTTTGTATTTTTTTATGTCAATCTACCTGTAATGCAACCGTTACATAACTGTGTAAACTATATTTGAATGAAAATTAGTCCCTAATTAATTAGGTAACTAATTAGGCGATGATACCATGGATAGAAACCGGATGAAACCAACGTTTACCCAACATGGGTGGGCTAAAAGGTCTTATTTTCGTATCAACGATGTTAAATGATTTGTGAAATATTAAGTAAAAACTGTGGATCAAATACATCAGTAGCTATATAAGTATACAATTAATTAATGTATATTATACGTTAATAAATAATAAATATTAATAAATCTTTTTCATAATAAACTTTAAATTACTTTAAATTTACTTTAAAACCATTCAATTTACATAAATTTCAGAATGATAACTGAATATACCGTGAAAATAGCTATTAAATATATGTATTAAAACCAATTCAATAATAGTAAATGATCACAATAAAATTGAGAAAATCAATCAAAATACGAACAGCAAAATAAAACTTATTCAAGAGTTCAGTGAATTATACACACACGCACACACCACACGCGCGCGCACACAGCCCATCCATCATAACACATGATTACATTAACAATTCAATAACTATATATGTGTATATATATATATATTATTATTATTATTATTATGATATTATTATCATTAATGTTGTTATTGTTATTGATTGTTAATGTCATCGTCAACTACTGTTTCTATATTAGTCGATTTTTCTATTACAACTTATATTAGTATTAGTAGTAGTAGTACAATTAGTATTAGCACATGCAATGTACAATAGTATAGATACTATTTTATAACAAGCAATATAACAGTTACTCTATTATAAAGGAAAGCGTTTATATTTGTAAACCAAGCAACATGCAGAAATAATTGAAGTGTGTGTGCGTTTGTGTGTGTGTGCGTGCGTATGAGTGTGTGTGTGTGTGTGTGTGGTGTGTGTATATTATTGTTACTAATATAATTATAGTTACACAATATTATTAATCATGTTTGTGTCTGTTGCAGTCATCGTTATTACTGAGTATGGTGTTATATTTAAAGGCAATTAGTAGTGATAGGCTAACAACTATAACATGCAGGGCCAATTTCATAGATGGGAAGTAGTCCTGAAATTAATTTTTTTAAAAATTCGATTAAATAAATAAATAAAATTCATTAAATCAATATTATAGTATTAAAGTAATTAATTATTACTACATTTTATTATAACATGCAAATACTTTTAGTATATATATACAATACATGCACACATGCAATGGTCATCATTATGGTCAATTTTATATATGTTGGTATTGTGTATTGATTTTAAAGAGAAAAATTATAAAAGTGTATGTGTGTGTGTGTGTGTGTGTGTGTGTGTGTGTGTGTGTGTGTGTGTAGTATACATGTAATTATCAAATTCCAGACAAAAAAGGTGTATATTTTGGCAGAATAATTTGAAGAAGAAAAGATATTAATATAAGATTTTTAAACCCCATCACCACCAAAAAGATAGTTCAATAGTTTCGGTTTTATTTCCCATTCAACACAATTAAACAAAATAACTTTTATTTAAATTCTATTCAAAAAGACAAAAAAATAGGCAAGCAATCATTCACACACACACACACGTTCAAAGGTATGTTTGAGTATATGTGCTTGTGCGTGCGCGCTAGAATTGGTAAAAAATTCATTAAAAAAAGTACTAAAATACCCTTCGACGGTATTTTAAAAACAAAAAAAATGAAATTTAACAAAGAACAATAAAAGCAAAAACAATCATAAAGTGACACAAATAATGGAAAAACGAAACGAAATAATATGAATAGTAAAAACAATTTATAAAAAATTGAACTATAAAAGTTCCTCAAAGACCGAAAAAGTATTTCAGAAGATTAGATATTTTAAATTTGGTCCTAAGCATCACTCTCTTCAAAAAATTGTTCAGTATCATCACTATCACTCGCTACCACCATCATCTTTATCGTTACCATCACCTTCATCATTATTATCACTTTCATTATCATCCTCATCTGCATCTCGAGAGTTTTCCAGATGTTCTCGCATTTTGACTTTCAGATCGTTCATCTCCTTCAGCATCATCAGCCTCTCCCTACCGTAGCGTATACAGAGTTGGTTCTTCTCGTCCAATAATATCTCATAGCATACTTTCAAGTCATTCAACTCGTTGAGCAACGTCGTAGCATTTGTTGATGATGCCAAAAATGTTGTTGTTGTTGTCGTTGCTGTTGTTGTTGCTGATGATGGAAATACGATAGATGACGGAGATGATGACGTCAACAAAGACGATAAATGAGGTGATACTTTCCTCATGGGTGATGTCATTTTTGACGTTAAAGTCGATGACGCTTTCGTCATTGATGTATATTTAGTTCTTGAAAACAACGATGATGACGACGATGATGATGATGGCGACGGTTGTGGATGAATAGTTGATGATGAAAGTGATGGTGACGATGAGTGAACTAGTGATGAAGTGAATGTTAGTGATGACTTATTAATATCGGGTCGACTTGATTTTTGTTTGGAAACAAAAGAACTTGATGGTTTTGTGGTAACTGTTTTTGGCTTAATCATTCTTACTGATTTATTATTATTATTATTATTACCGCCATTATTGTTATTATTATTTGATGATTTGTTTGTAGTTTTTGATTCACCACTCTCTCTTTTGCAATATCTCTCTACTCTATAGTTCCTCCTCCCCTCCTCATCGCCAACAGCAGTCTCTCTAGATTTCAATTTGCCAACGCATTTAGGCCTATCCTCATTTTTGAGCGGTGTACTCGCTTTATTGGATGTCTGCTTGAGAGGATCACGATGCTGGCTAGAACGACGATGAAGATGACAACGACGATCCTCATTATCATCATTCCCATCACCAAATTCTATGATATTGAATTCACCCACCATTTTATCACCATCACCCGCCATTTTATCACCATCACTCGCCATCTTACCACCATCACCCGCTATCTTATCGCCATCACCCGCCATCTTATCCCGAACATGCGGTGTAGATATGACGTCATGATCACCATCTTCACCACCATCATCGTCATCGTTATTGGCATCTTTTTCACGTGAATCATAGTAATTATCTGATGAGTTTACACAACGTTTTGCTGATGGCAGGTTAAATTGGAACGCATTGAGAGATTCCTAAGGTCATATAAGGAATGGAAGATATACATGTATTCATGTACAGTACAGACAATGAAGCATACATACAACACAACGTATACATAATACGTTGGGTTGTATACAAATACAATACACTGAAATACAAAACATAACACTACAACCCCAAATACACGATACAAGACACAGTACAATAGAGAGATGTGTGAAGAAAACATAAATAATACAAATTTGAACGCGCGCACAAACACATACACAATACATACATACACACATACACACATACATACATACACACACACACACACACACACACACACACACACACACACACACATACATACATACATACATACATACATACATACGTCAGGATATTATGTTTTAGAATTAATTTAGAAAAGAATAAAGATAAAACTGAAGATGACAATGACGACGATGATAATGACAACCGTAGAAGATAAAGATTTAAAATTTATAACTACGCCATGCATGGTATGAAAGTATTAGTTAGTGGAAACACACCTTAACGAAAGGAAAAAAACATTTAGTTAATAAGCATGCAAATGAGAGATACACACACAAACACAAACACGCACACACACGAATACAAAGAAAAACATGTGTACACGCACACACGCACACATGCATAAGAACATGCACATACATCTAAATACAGAACAACAATATCCATTAAATCTAGAATACATCTCATAAAGACAAAACATATGTAATACAAAGATACACACACAAAACAAAAGATAAATGCAAAAATATATACAAAGAAAATATATACAAACATGAACATACATTCATACATACATACATACATACATACATACATACATACATACATACATACATACATACATACATACATACATACATACATACATACATACATACATTGAAAATGTATAAATACGCTAAAATATACTTACATATGTATACACATGAGAATAAATATAAATAGACTAGCCTGATATGGTAGTAGCCATGGAAACAGCTGAACACCATCACCATCTGCAACGACAGCGTCACGCTGCTGTATGAGTAGTAGCTTCTCTTCCAACTCTATCAGCTGCTTTTGCAGTTGTATGCACTCTCTTTCCATATCTTTACAAGTGGGGCAGTTTAAAAATTTGAATCTATCTAGGCTCTGGTTGATGTCGTTGTTTGTGGTTGTGGCTGTGGTGGTGGTTGTGGTTATCAGAGATGTTGTTGGATATGGTTCTGAAGGCGTTTTTGTAGTAGCTATCGCTGCGATGTTTGACGCTGTTGTAATTGTTGTTGAAGCTGATGCAATTTTTGTTGAAGTTGATGTAATTGTTGTTGCGTGTGTCGCGATGGTAGAATGGTGTTGTGTTGTTGATTTTGTTGCTGTGGCAGATGTCAATGTTCTGGTCGTTTGAATGTTAGACGTTGATGTAGATGGGTGCTTGCTGTGTTTGTTTCTTCTTCTAGTTCTACTTTTAGAATTAGCAAGTTGTAGTGGCTGTCGTTCGCGAGCGACAGCACCATCACCTCCAACAACAACAACACCATCATTATTATCCCCATCTTTATTTCGATCATCACCCACCTCTACATCTTCATCATCTTCATCATCTTCATCCTTGACTCCAATACTACCACTACTACTATTACTAATGTACACGCCATTACCATCATCATCAATAGTAGTTTGGGTGTAATCATCAGCTGTTTGGATGCTATTAATGGAGTCAGTCGTCACAGAAACGTCATAAGTCGTTCTTGCGGCTGTTGTGGTTGAGGCTGTGGCCGCAGACGTTGTGGCTGCTGTAGTTGTGGTCGTATGCAAAATGGATGATGGTGACGACGATGATATGGCGGTAGATACTTCAAACTGTATATGTTCTTTATCATCAGATGATGTTGAAGATGTTGATGATAATAATAAAGATTCAAGTTCGCTGTTTCTATGTTTCAACTGTCTGCACTTCTGCTCTAGTAGCGTCAACTCAGATTCTAAAATTTTTATTCTCTCTGGCCAATCCTCTACCTCAGTTTTCTCTTTCTCATTATCAGTGTCAGCAGCATCAGCAGCGGCTGGCACAGCTTCATTTGAAACATTAACAGTCGTTACCAGCATCTGGTTTTCAGCAACTACTTTGTCTAGAGAATCACCATCAACGTTAACCTTATCAGCATTATCATCATCAGAAATATTGTAATTATAATTTTCATCGTTGTCGCTCTTATTATCATTATTATTATTATTATTATTATTATTATTATTATTATTATTATTATTATTATTCTCACCACCTCGCCCAAGATCATGACCAACGTTAATGATGGAATATTCAATGGCCTGCAGATTTTTATTAGTTTCAAGAAGCTTCTCGAGGTGTTCAACTCGTCTCCTTAGAGTATTATTTTCAGTAGTCATGAGGTTGGCGTCGACCAGCGAATGAAATGTTACGCTATCACAGAGGTCTCTGTACTTCAGTCTCAACATGTTGTAGTCTTTCAGAGTTTCGACCAGGCGATTTTTTAGTTTCGTATACTCGCAGCGAGCTTTTTGTTTGAACTTTCTGAAGTCGATTTGTAAGAAAATGTAGTCATCGATGGTCTTGTTTCGAGAGAGTTCAATCTCCAGTTGATAGTCCGTCGTCGAAGTAGTCAGTGATCTGGGTGTTAGTACCAGGAATCTTTCTGCATTCAATGAAGATGACGACGACGGTCTGCGAGGTGAATGTTGCAGCTGCAGCTGTGGTTGTTGCGGTGGCGACAGTTGCAGTTGTTGAATTTGTTGTGAGTTAGGCGATTGTTGTTGTTGTTGAGTCGTCGTGGCCATGATGAATTTCCTAATTTTTTCAGAAGTTGAAGAAGTAGCAGCAGTTGATGACGAGTCGAGACTGCTCATGCTGTAATCTTGAACGTGCTTCAGTGCTGCTGATGATGCCGACGCATGCCTCAACTCATCCTGTTCGACATTTTGACCGATTTGCGGTGACGACAGACTCAAATTTGATGGTAGCAACAACATGGATGACGTCGATGCGACGCATTGTGAAGTTGTATTTGTCGTCAACATCGACAAGTTAATACCTCCGTCATCATCTGCAAGTTTACATCTGCCGTTGTTAATAATCATCCTCAACTTTTCATTTTCAGCTTGAAGAGCTTGCAGCTTACCGTACATATCGTCCATTTCTGAACAGGACATGTGGCCATCGTCCGACAGCAAGAAAGTTTCCGACCCGGAAAATGATGCAGGCGATTTGATGTCACGATAATATAATTCAGCTGCTGCACTGGTGGTGGCGACATCAGCTCCTAATTCGACACTGTTACTAGAGTTGTTCGCATCGTTAAATATGCTTTTAGAGACATCACAACTTGCACTGTTGGCTGCCAAAACAAGACAACCAGTTGTTGCATAAATGGGTTGGCCGTTGCTGTTGTTGAAGTTGAGTTCATCGGCATCATCTAAAGTGCTCGAGGCGTTGGACTGCTTGTTAAATTCTCGATTCAGCTGTCTATATTGATAAGTTAATTGCTCGTTTTCATGTTTTAACTTTGCGTTTTCTTCCTTCAGCGTGTTAATCTCATCATCAATTAATGGTTGCTGTTGTTCATTTTTAGTAGTTTGTTGTTGCATGTCGTGGATAGTTTGTTGCAGCTGATAGACCAACATCTCATACTCATCAACCTTCTCCTCAAGTCTCATGTTATCCTCTCTCAGAGCCACCAGTTCATAATTTTTCAGATCGGCATCACTCTCGTCAGCAGTGACAGCATCACTAGGAAGGTTATTGATACCACTCCCAGCATCACCATTGCCTAACATCTCTTTTCCTTTGTTACCCCCATCACTGCCACCACTATCAACTTTTGACTTAAGTTCACTTTTCAACAGTAATAATTCTTGATCTTTCTTGTTAACCTCATCGAGGACAGCCAACAGTTGATCTTCCAACTTGTCTAATTTTTCAATCAGCTGTTTATTTTTGGTGTTGGCAACTAACAGTTTATTTTGCATGACGAACAGTGCGTCTGTAAGAGACAAATTTTCTTCTTGCAATCTTTCCTTTACTTCTGATTGATTGGTAACAACGTCTGGAGATGCTGCTGCTGCTGTTTGGACATCATTATCATTATCCTCATTAGTATTACTAATACTACCATCTTCAACCGCAAGACCAGCAGTGTTTGTAACATTTTCATCATCATCGTCATCGCTATCATTAATCAGGTCAGCGTTTATTATCTCGTGATATGATGTCAGTTTATAAAAGTTGTGTACGTTATTATTCCCGTTGGTGTTGTTAGCATCGGTGGAATTTTTGCATCTGTTAAGGGATTTATTGTCAGCATGGGAAACGTTGCTGCTGTGTGGTTTGGTTGATTCGTTGTTGTCGTTGCTGAGACGATAACCTTCGTTGTTGTCGTTGGTCGTAGAGGCGCTTAGAAATGATCTATCTTCAATTAAGTCATTGACATCATCCTGACGATGACCAGATGAGTCATCACACACTGCCACAGTCATCTTCGCGTTGGATGATGAAACATCCGTTGCTGCTGCTGCTGTTGATTCTGGAACGTTCTTTTCAGCTGCTAGCAGGGAGTTTAACTGGAACTTCAACTCCTCGTTATGCGAGATTAAATCATTGTTGACCATGGATAGATTTTTGACATTTATATCAACTGTCAGCAGATCATTTTTCAACTTCTCTATCTGCTTTTCTTGCTGCTTTTTAATTTTCAACAGTTTTGCGTGCTCCAGTCTGGCAGACTTCAGTGATGCTAGCAGGTTGTTGTTGTCTGCCGAGGCTGAATCTTGTGTTTTTGATGATGCTTCAAGTGTCGGTGCCACATCATTGTTACTTGCCGTGAATGCTGTTGACGCTGCTTCCGACACCATGGATACAACATGTCTGCCCTTTTTTACCATCTCAACCCTCCTGTCAATGTGTATTAATGCGCATCCATTTTCTTTGTGCCTCGATAGTTTCGTCTGGTTGACTCTGCTGACATTTTTGACGTTACCATCACACCCATTCATGTCCTCACTGTAATTATTACGCCCCGCATGATTCTCGTTTGATTTTCTCATAAGCTCAGTTATTTTGCTGTTCAGTTGAACAATCTCTGCGTTTAATCTACCGACTTCGACTTTGTAGCTGGAGGTCAGATTTCGTTCGCATATCAGTTCATTCGTAATGTCCATCATTTGCTTTTGAACGTTGGCGCAGATTTCTTTGTGCTGCTGCTTCTCATGTCTGCACGTTTGTTCGAGTAGCTCGTATTCAGCTTGTAACGTTTTCAATTTATCGGTCAGGTTCTTATTTTTTAATTCCAGAGTTTGGAACTTAACAGAACTGTCTAAGATTTCAATTTCTAATTCTCTCACTTGTTCATCTTTGGCTGATATGCTTCTTTTGAAATCTGACAACTCATACATCAGTAACTGACACTTATTTTCACAATCCCTTATTTGTTGATTTGAACCTGAGAGCTGATTTTTTAAATGTTCAACACTATCTTCCAGCTTCACATTGAAGCATTTGCATTCTATCAACTCATCTTTGAGAGCCTCAATCAGTTGTTGCTTTTCATGAGCAGCTTCCTTTGAAGAGCATTCAAGCTGCTCCTGAAGCGCTGTCAACTTTGCCGCTTCATTCCTGGTTGCCATCATCAAATCATCTTTCAAGGATTCAATGACTCCAATCAGTGAGGTCACTTCCTGTTTGAAGCCTGTTAATTCTTTATGTAACGATTGAATAGACTCATCACGTTCTGCTAATTCAAGACTGTGTTCTTTTAGTAAGATGCTCTGTTTATCCAACACCTCACTTAACGACAATTTCTCTTCTTCATATTTGGCTCTCCAAATGTTCATCTCTGCTTCATATTCCGCTGTTGTGGACAAGAGTTTAAATTTCAAAGATTCAATTTCCTGAAGCAATTCATTCGCATTGTCTGAATGGTGTAACTGCATAATAGTACAATACTCATTCAGTTCGTATAGTTTCATATTATGTTCATATTCCATCGATTGACTGGCTTTCAACTGATTTTGAAGATCAGTGATTTCTTCATGGAGCATTATTTTATGTTGTGTCAAATCTGATAGTTGATCATCTTTACCTTGTAGTAAACTTTTCAAGGTTGATACTTCTGCATTAGATAGCTCCAAACTTTCCGTGTAGGTTTTATGATGGTAATTTACGTTCTCGTTGATTAAGCTCATTTTTGCCAACAAATCAGATTTGGCATTTCTTTCATATTCGAGTTCGTTCCTAATCATGTTAATTTCATTTACTTTTGAATGATTTTCATGCTCTAACGCTCTGACCTTCTCATCATAACCCTGATCTAACCTTGACCTTTCAATCTTCAACTCCATCAATTCATTCATCAGTTCAGTCTTCTCACCGGAAAATAATTTCTGAAGAGTTTGGATTTCTGTTCTCAAAGCATCCGTTGTTAATCCATGTTCAGATTGCAAAGCCTTCATATTGTCATTCAGTTCCGATATTATTTTTTCATAATGACACTCCTTCTCAATTTGTTTAGTTTCATTGTCAACTACTTCCCCAACTAGTTCAGAACTTAACTGGATTATTTTTAACTTTAATCCATCACTCTCTGCCACTAAATGTTTATTAAGATCGCTCAAATTATCTATAACTTTCAATTGTTCCATTTTTTCGGCAACGATACTTTCATTTGAAACTTTCAGTCTATCAATTTCAATCTTATTCTCTGCGATGTTACTGTTTAGTTCATTAATTTTAAGATTAAGCATCAACAATTTCTCGTCTTTTTGCTTGAGCATATTCTCAGTTTCATACATATTCGACTGCAACTTCTTACATTCAAGTTCGCAAGCGTTAAGTGATGACGATTGTTCATTTACGATGTTGATTTTGTTCGATAGGTGCTCGTTTAATTCATCTAATTTTATTTTTATCGCCGTGATTTCTGCATCTTTTCCATTTAAATCTTCCACATATGCACGGAGTTTGTTATCTTTTTCAAGTAGTCGTTCATTTAAATTCTTAATTTGATCAGTCAAGTTATCTATAAGAGAGCATCTCTCTTTAACTTTCTCAGAGAGTAATGAAATCTGATTAGTCAGGTCTGCGTTGTTCAATTCACTTTCTTTTAATTGTGCTCCCAAATCCAGTTTTTCACCTTCCAACTTTTCTACCTTCAATTTAAAATCAAATAAACGTTTTTCGTCTGCGATCCACAGACTGTTACAATAATTTTGTAATGAATCCAATTCGCTTTCATACCTTGCTTCACTAGCAGAAAGTTTACGTTGGTGATCATCTTCAAACCTGGCAATCTTACCCTGAAGATCACAAACTGTAGCATTCTGAACATCTACATCAGCAGTCAGTCTCAATACTTGCTCCTCTAAAGAGTTAATCAAATGTGATAAATTTTCATTCTCTTTACCCTTCACATTCAATTGGTTATCTTTCTCAATCAATTCACCATTCATTTGATTAACTTTCTCATTTACAACTAACAATTCATCTTTCAATTTCATGTTTTCTGAATGTATTTCCTGCAGAATTAATTCCAAAGTGCTCACTTGAATAAAACGTTCGTTTCTATCCATCTCCATTCCATGTAACGCATCGGACAGCTTCTGTACATCTTGTTCAAGTTGTTTTTTTTGGTCAAGTAGTTCAGTCCGTGAGGCGTATATCTGAATATCGGACTCACTCTTGTTGGTCATCAGTGCGCCTATCTGCTCTTTTAAGGATTCATTTGTGGCCTTCATTTCGTTGATTTGCAGTACGGTAATTGTAGATATAGCTTCGTTGTACTTTTTTTGCATTTCATCTAATTCGATCTTCAAAGAATTCACTTCATCTGTTAAATCTTTTATGTGTTGTTGTTGGCTGATGTTTGTATCATTCAACTGCTGTTGGTGTAGTTGTTGTTGCTGCTGCTGTTGCTGCTGTTGTAACTCTCTTTCTTGCAGTTTTTTATTCTTCAAAACCCTGGCTTTCTTAATATTCCGAAGTTTAATTTGTTGTTCGTTAGCTATTTCAGATGCTGATTCCGTGGCTGATGACGTTAATGTTGTTGCTAATGATGTTGCTGCTGTTGTTGTTGTTGATGTTGTTGCTAATGATGTTGCTGATAACGCTGCCATGATAAATGCTCGTTCTAAAATTTCATTGGAAAAATCTCCATGCCATGTATCTGCCACTGTTGAACCATCAACAACTGCTGCAACATCGGTTTGCATAGTGGAGTGTCTGCAACTTGCTGATGTTGTTGATGTAGAGGAGTTTGTGAGAACCAACAAATTCGTTTGAGAAGCTGCTGTTGACATTAATAGATTAGTTGTTTCAGTAGACTTGTTGCTTGATGATGATAACGAATTAGTTGTCTCAGTAGACTTTTTGCTCAACGATAACGATGGATTAGTTGTCTCAGTATACTTGTTGCTTGAAGTTGTGATGTCAAACTGAGTGGTAGCATCAGCAACATCTGCCAGTTCTGAATGTGATGCAACGACTGATGCGACGTCAAGGTGCAACTCTGCTGAACCAGATGCTGAATTATTTCTTTCATGTGTCTCCAACATAACTTGGCAATCCTTGTCATCAACTCTCTTAGGAAATGATTCTTGCAGTTTCAACTTCAACGTTTCCATATGTCGTTCACTGAGTACATATACATGTTGCCCCTGTTCATCCAACAACGAAGACTTCAAAGATTCAAGATCATTAATGAAAATAACATTATCATTATTGTAGGCAATCCCACCTCTGACGGCACCAGCGTTCAATGCAGCATCCGAATGATCGTTCAAATATGACAGTAGCTTCTCATTTTCCACACTCACCTTTTCCAACATGCTGGCCAACAATTCCTTTTCAGCTTCCAACAACTTCACCTTCGGATCAATGTATCGATCGTCATGACTGCCCTCCTCCTCTTCTTCATCATCGTTGTGTTGCAAATCCATGTTGGAATAATCAAGTTCCAGAGTCTGATTCCTGCTAACAACGTGAATTAGTAGCTGGTCTTTTTCTTTTGTCAAACGTTCAATTGAGTTCTTTAGAAAGCTGATTTCTTGTTGTAACGAGTCCACCAGTTTTGAGGATGAAGTAACAGTGTTACAAGTCCCAGTAACGTTGGTGATGTTTGTTGACGACGGTTCAATGGCAGATGTTTCTGTGCCTGTGTCGACCGTTACTAAGGTGGGCTTTGACGAATTCAGAGAATTAAGTTCACTATTTAACATAGAGATTGTACTGTTGAGTTTTACATTCTCGCTTTCAACATTTTCCAACTGCTGTTCAACTTTTTTCAACTTAGTTTGCAGACTTTCCTTGGCTTCCCGAGAAGAATTCAACCTCATCATCAATGTTTCATCAATATTTTCTTTTTCAGTTAGTTGTGGTTGTTGCTGCTGCGGATGTTGTGGTTGCTGGCGTTGCTGCTTGAAATTTAATGATGGAAAATGTTGTTGCTGCTGTGAGAACGACTTTGCATCTTCCTGCTTGATACTGCTGATTTGTTTGAGAAGTTTATCTCTATCTAGCTGTAACAACTCAAACTCATCAGATAATTTCAAATAATCTTCATCTCGTTTCGTGCATTTTTTCCTGAACTGTTCTATCTCAGCTTCATAATTTTCTCTAAGATTTCTCGTTCGACTATCAAACTCCTTGCTTTTTCCATCCAGCTCACTAACAAAATCCTGCTCCAGCATTAATTTTTCTCTTTCCAATGTTTCCACTTTTAACTTGTCTTCCACAGATTGTTTTTTGGCATTTGAAATTACAAGTTTCAATTCATTTTCTAACTCAAAAACTTTGTTTGTCAGTTCGTTTCTTAACTTCAAATGTTCAACATTTAATTTTGCCTTTTCCTTTTCATGATTGTTTATCAAATTACTCTGTTCCTGAATTAGGTTCTCAATAGTTGATGCAGATAGTTTCAGTTTTTCAGTTAACAATGATTTTTTTTCATTCAGAGCATGAATATTTTCACGCACGGCAAGTTTTATACCCTGCTGTTCAGATAACATGTCGGAAATTTTACTGTTAAACTCCGTTATATCATTTTCCCTTTCTAGGGTTAAAATTTTAATTCGTTCGTTAGCATCAGCAAGAGATGCCCTCAAACTTTCAATCTCCACCAGCCTACTTTCTGTTATCATTACAGTTGGGCTCTGATCTTCATCTTCATCATGTTGATGATGAGGATGGAGCGATGTTTCGATGGAATTCAGTGGCTGCTGTTGTTGATATGATATGGGATCGTCATTGTCATTCTCAGCTACCGCAACATTATTATTTTCAACAGAAAATTTATCCACAACTTCAACAGTAGAAACATTGTCATATGAAAAGTTTTCATTTGTTAAGTTAGGTTTATTATTAAAATTACCATCCTCATCATCATCATCATCATCCTCGTAATCATAATCATCGTTGTCGTCATCGTCGTGTATTTTCACGCAGTCTTCGTCCAGTTGTTTAAAAGCTTCTTCAAAGGTGAATACTTCGCTAGCCTGTTCTGCTGTGTTCGGTAGTTTCAGTAGAAGTAGCAGGTTACTTATCATACCAATTTGTCTCATAGCATTGGACCTGGCTTTCTTAGACTGCTTTAGTTTAATTGTTAGTTTATTGAAATAATAATAATCACTTTCTGATATCTTGTTATCGTTAATGTTATTCACAGTAACTTTATTTTCACTTTGTTCAACGCCCTGAACGTTTGATGCAGGAATTAAATTTGATCTATTCACTTTACAATTTGCTAGTAATTTATTTAATTTCAAAATCCGCGAGTCAATCAACTCTACAAAAGATTTCAGCTTTATAATATCACCGGATAACTGGTGATATTTTTGTTCAAGGAAAATTGATGACGCCGCCAGAGAAGGATGTGATGAGAATGAATTCTGCCGCAAAGATGATTGAGGCGCTGATGAAACATTTTTCCTGGCGAGTTGAACTCTCTGGTTTAAATCTTTAGTAACGACTGTAAGTTTATCAGCATTAGAATCATTTTCAGAAAGTGTAGGTACCGATTGCTTAGTATCAACTCTACATTCAGTAAACCTGTTGTTCTCCTCATCTGCCCTGCAGGTGTTCTCGCTATCACTAGCGTCTTCAACGTCCCTCTTGTCATGCTTTGACTTCACAATGGATAGAAACTTGTCCTTGTCGACCAGTTTTTTCAATTTTTTCTCCAAGTTATTTCGTTCTTGCGTGATTTTATCCAAAGATTGCTTCAATTCAACCCTATCCCTATAGATGTTTTGCAGTGAATCCATAACAGAGTCTCGTTCACTTGAAACTTTCGATAAATCTTCATTCAGTTTGTTCATGTTCAACTCTAATCCATCCATGGCCGATTGGTGGGACTGTCTCAGCTGATTGAGCTCACCTTCGTGAATGAGTTGAATTTCTCTGAGATTAGCTTCGTGTTTGGCATTCATCTGATCAAATTCAATTTTATATTTCAAATGTATTGAGTCAACTTCAGCTTTCAATGAATCAATGGTGGCAAGTAGTTGATCTGCATGCTTTTGATTAGATTCATTAACATCTTTCAGTTGAAGTTCATATTTCGTTTGTGCTTCAGCAAGCAGTTTGCGTGTACGTTGTGCATGGTCATCTGCACTCTCATTCATCTCACTCATAACTGATGATTTTTTAAACAAATCACTTTCTAACAGCAAAATTTTTTCACTCAATGATTTAATCATTTCCTCGCTAGTGTCCTGTGCATGTTTGTTATCCAGTTTCAAGGCATCAATCTGAGACGAATGCATTGTTTTGAAGAGCTGCATCTCCTCAGTTAGTCTCCTGATGTGTTGGTCATTTTGTTGCTTCAGTCGGCTGGTCAGTTGTTTCTCTTCTTCAAGTTTCTCTTCATGGACTTTCTGCATTTCTTCCTTAGACTCTCTGAGCCGCTGATCATATCGCTGTTGCATTTCATTGAGCAGTTGTTGGTGGTCTTGGTGCATTTTGTTGATCTGATTGTCGTGCTGTTGCTTCAGCTGATTGATTAATTGCTGTAGTTGTTGATTATCTTCAACAAGTTGTTTATTTTGTTGTAGTTGTTGATTACATTCTTGTTCTTTTTGATTTACCTGGTTAAGAAATTCGTCGTTCCGATGTTGAAAACTGTTCAACCGTTCTTTATGTTGTAACTCAAGTTTATTGAACTTATGCAAATGTTCCAGCAATCCATCCAAAAGTTGAGCATTCTCTTTCTTCAGCCTTTCCTCCTCGTGTCGCCATTCTTTCAGTTCATCTTCATACTCCCGCTGTTTCTGAGCTATTTGTATATTTTGTTGTTGCGTCAGCTCGAGCAACTGAAGTTGAAGTTGTTCCAACTGTTTATTTGACGCATCAAGTCTTTGTTCATCTTGCTTGATTTGTCGTTCCAACGTTTGTTGATGCTCTTCATCAAGTTTGTTCTTCAATTGAACCATCATTTGATCGTAATAACCTTGCAATTTAATAATTTCCAAATCATGAGACTGATTGATTTGAGAAAGTTGTAGCAATAATTCGTTGTGCTGGTCAACATCCAGGAGATGTTGGTCCTGCAGTTGTTTAATGAGCAATAAATGTTTTTCATCAGATTGTTGCAGTTGCTTAATGAGCAACAAATGTTCTTCATCTGATTGTTGTTGTTGTTGTTGTTGCTGCTGTCTGGAGAGTTGTTCGTCCTGGTGATGTTGTGAAACTTGTTTTTGATGAAATTCCCTTTGTACTTGCACTAGCTCTCCCTCAAGGCTTCTTACTTGGTTCAGGTATTTCAACTTAAGTTCACTTTCTTCTTTCAATGATTTGTCCAACTCAACTGAGACGATCTTCATTTTCTCTAAATCAGCACTCAGTAATTTTATTTTGTTCTCATAGTTCACAACGACATCGTTTGAAACAGTGTCTGCATTTTTTATTTTCAACTCAAGTTCTTCAATTTTCGATCTCAACATTTGATTCTCATCATCGAGAGCATTCAACCTCTCCACGACCTCACCATCATTGATGTGCTGCTCACTCAACATCACATACTGCCTCTGCCATGTTGTCGCTTCCTCCAGAAACTTGTGCTTCACTTTGATAGCTGTGGCAAGTTCGTTGTTGAGTCTATCAACATCCAGCTCGTGCTTGTCAGTCAGTTCAGTTTTTATTCTTTTAACATTCTCCGCAAAATCTTCCTCAAGTTCAGCTCTCAGTGCTGAAATTTTTCGACTGACCTCCTCATCCATTTGTTCTCTAGTGAAAAATAGACTCTCAAGATCTTCAATGCACCGTTTTGAAGCGAGATCAGCGCTGAAATTATCACCTGTCTGATAACGTAATGCATCAATGGTTGCTGATGATGCCTTCCTGACAACGTCACCATCATGTTCACCATCATTGTAGTGAGATAGAGTTTTATCAAAAGCTTTCATCTTTGGTGTATTGGACGAGCTGACGATGAGTTTTGAGTTGAGTTCATCAACCAGCTGATTTAGTCGTATATTTTCTGTGACTAATAAACTAATCTGCTCAACCAAATCAGCACTTGATACATTTTGTTGACTGAGTAACATGTACTGCTTCTGCCAGGCCGCTACTTCATTCACCAGTTTGTTCTTCTCATCTGTCAATCTTCCAATGTGCTGTTCATTCTTTGCTATACTGATTTGCAAATGAGAAATCATCAAGTGCTCTTCCTCTCTTCCAACATCCTCTTTTCCATCCACATCTTTTGTAGATTTCAATCTGTTCAGTTCATCACTCAACTCTGCAATCTTACTCTCCATCTCTTTCATCTGATGCTCTTTTCTTGAGAACACATCCATCACATCAACTCTTTCATTCTTCAACATTTCTAACTGCTCCCTCAACATCTGCAACTCAATGTTAGAAGATTGCTTGTCAATTTCAGGTTTTGAATGTTGACTAGAGGGCTGCAATGATGCTGATGATGAGAACAATTGCGATTGTTGTTTGTTGAAGTTTTGTGAAGATTGCCTCAATAAAATCTTACTCTGGGCATTTAACTGATCAACTAGTTGATTCAGCCTAATATTTTCAGTGGTCATTTCACTGACCTGTTGAACGAGATCTGAGCTTGAGATATTCTGCTGACTCAACAGAACATATTGCTGTTGCCACATCGTTGCCTGCTGCATATACCTCATGCGTTCCTCTTCCAACCTTGATATCTCTTCTGCTATTTTTCTACTCTCGTTCATTCGTTCATCTGACCAGGTTTCTTTTATTTTTGAGATTTCCTGCCCATAGAACTCATCCAACTCAGCCCTCAGAGCAGCAAGCTGGTCATTCAGTAATTTATTGAATGCCTCATTGTCAGGCACATGTAATGTTGCTTCAGTGGCCACCAGCGAATTAACAACAGCTTGATGGGGCAGTGACTTTGTACATTTCTCTATACCATCCAGCACTTCATCACGTTCAACCCTCTCACGACTCTCCTCCATATCTCTCCTCTTGATACTCTCCTGCAACATGATGATCTCAACATTCCTCTCGACCAACTGTTCTTCGAGTGTGGTCACCTCGATGCAGACGCTGGTGTACTTGCTGTTCACCTCATTAATCTGCAGTATGAGCAGTTGCATGGCGAGATCACGCTGGTTGATTGCCTCCTGCAGCGACTTCATTTGCTGTTCCTTCTGCAGGCAGGACTTCTGCAAAGCCAAGATCTCATTCTTCGCCCCCTGTAGAGCCATGGCAGATGACTCGCCTAATTTTGTGTCCAGCCACTGTCCAGCCTTTTGAAGCATGCAATTGTTGAAATTATGATAATAATAGAAATATTTGTTATAATATTAAGATAATTATTCATTCAGCATCTTATTACATTTATATAGAAAAAAGTGTTAAGTAATAATTAAAATAATTATGATATCAATTGACTGCAGAACACACTGTAATGATAATAATAATGTTAAACGCATACATCAATTATTTAATTCTAAAATAGTTGAAAACAAAATCTTCATTAAACGAACAAATGCATGCACATCTGTATACAAAAATACTAAAGATGCTATACCATACAAATTCGCATACATACGTATTGTACAGAAATACAAAAAATAGCTGTACAACAAATATGTGTATATATGTAGAATGAAAAAATACAAAAGGTATTATACAACAAATGTGTGAAAATATAAAAATACAATATAATATACAATATATATATACAATATATATACAAATGTGTGAAAATATCTAATACAATAAATACAAGATGCATTATAACACCTCTTTCAATTGAGACTGCAGTGTATGTACGTCGGAAGTCAGTTGGTCTATCTGTGTTGTGTACTCGGACTGTACATCATCCCTGTTCTTTGTCATCAGCTCTACTTTTTGTCTCAACTGCTTTATAGTATTGTCCCTCAGTCTTAAGGCACTTTCAAACTCGTCTAACTGAAATTTAGTTTTTTATATGCCGGTTAGATCAGTATTTTTTTTTTATCTAATTTAATTTAGCGAATTTAGCACCATTTTCTTTCTAATTCAGAGATTTAAAAAAATGTATATTAATTCATTAATTAAATCAATGTAAATAAACCAGAAATGTTTATATTTAGAAGAGATGCAGCAGTTATGAATGTAGAAAATTTGAAGTACTTTAGATTTGTACTGCTCAACAGATGTCAGGACGTCATACTCAGGCACCGGTAAATCACTCCTAACATGACCATCATTCTGAAATATTATCAATTAATAGACAATTAATTTTGTAACAGCTACAAAATTAATTTAAACGATAGTAAAACTTGTGATAAAAATATTTCAATCAAGTTATTAGTTATTACAATAAAGAGTAATTAGATTATAAGATTAAAACAAAAAACTAACATTGGACTCAATTTTAGATTTCAGTAACTCATTCTCTTGCAATAAAGACTCTATCACAGATTCCTTTCCAATCAAAATCTCCTCCAGCACAATAATCTTCTCTTTTACATCTGCCTCACTCAACAATGAGCCTGGCATAGTGTCATAATTATTATTTGTATAATAATTATTATAATTATTATTATAATTACTGATACCATTATTGTCGAAGTCCATAAGGGCAGAATTTTCATCAGTGGTCGGTATTGTAAAATTTAAGATGTTAGTGACTAAGGAATTGTCTTCTTCTGCAGTGTTAACTACTTCTTTTTTCCTTTTATGTTTTCCAAGCTAATTATAAAATAAATGATTTAATATTATTTTAAGATAGTAAAAATATTGTTTTTAAATTGAAAAAAAAGTCATCAGACTTAATTGAGTCACGAGTCATACGATGTGAAATGAATTATTTTTTACATTAAAATTAATATCCGTAAATGAAAACATAATAGTTGATGTTGAATAATAATATTTAGATAGAAGACATTATCAGAGTATGTGTTGTAAGCTTTACACTGTAAAGTAAAACATATGTTATACATCAGTACATTATAATTATACATAAGCATAATAATGAATAAAATAATAAATAATAATAAAATTAAAAATACATACAACTATACTATATACATGTATGGGTGCATTCATTACATGTTGAATAAATGAAATGAATGAACCATACATTTTTTATTTTTTACACTTAAATCACAATCAACTGATTTTTATTAAAAAGTAAAAGTTAGTCACTAACTTTTACTTTTTTACATATAAAAATAAGTAAATAAATTAATAAATAGCATAAAACATAATATAATCAACCAAATCCAAATTAAAAAAAAAACTCAAAATTCAATTTATAATTTAATCTTAACTTTTAAATTTTAATGATTTTAAAAATTCAATTTCTAATAAAAAAAAAAACAACAAAAAGATTTAGAAAAGATTAACGATTTAATTTTTTAATATTAATTTAAAACAAGAATAACAGAATATCTTATGAATTTTATATTTAATGTGAAAAATTTGATTGTGGATGTGTCATCTTGTTCATATTGCCGGAACGACGATATCCATTTTTTTCGTCTGCCAAGTTTTGTTAACTTAACAAAACTTGGCAGACGAAAAAAATTGTTAAGCCACGTAAAGGGCGAATCCATGAGAAAAAAAACGAATGAATATTTGAAACAAAAATTTGAAAAAAAGAATTGGCTAATCAACCGTTCTTTTAGCTTCGTCAATTTTACGTTGCTTTTCGTTTTCATCCATAATTTTCAGTCCATATTGTTGTTTTTTAATAAAAAAAAAATTAGGAAAATTTTAAACAAAACAAACGGGTCGTAGATGGTTTGACTAATCAATAATCTTTTCATCACTGAAAAATTTTTCCTCTGTCGCCAAAAAGCATTGTGGTTCTGTTATTGAGTTTTGAGATACTATCATTTAGGTTATGTTCATTTATTTTTTTATTAATTAAATTTATTTAAAAATAGACACTCAGCCATAACTAGAATATAAATTATTAAAGAATTTTTAGCATCGCCACGTAAACTTTAAAAGCACCAATGAAAATTGATTGATGGAGAAAATGCATGATGTGGCAAGTATGAAAGCCATTCTGTTAGTCTTGTAAAAGGTATTTTATAAAAGATGTGTTTCTGAACATAAATAATACTTTTAACAGTTATTTTAACAAGTCATGCTCAAACATGCAAAATAAGTTACCGTATGGGAAAGTTTGGTAATACGCTTTTAACAGCTAGTCAATTTTTACTTCAAAATTACAATTGGGAAGTTTATTTCTAACTTTTTGATGCCAGTTTATTTTGTATGTGCACCAGTTACTCAAAGATACGGTTTTATTTCAATGTATAATGTTTATATAACAAGGAACCTTCTTGCGTACAAAACTACATCGAATACAAAATATGAACTCGAAGTGTTGAGCAAAACATTACCTCATCCTAAATTTTTTTATATTTTCGCCGTTTGTTCTCCGAGTTTATCCTGAAAATCAATGGAACAAAGTTATAATTTAAGAAGCCCTGGTTAGTTGCTTTTTTTTTAATTCTTAAATTTTTTCCAAAAAAATCAAACCAGTGTAGATTGTCCACATCACACACACCCATGATATGGTAAGTTCAGGTTGTGTAAAACAACAAGAAACAATGCAAATTTAATTTTTATAATTTAATTAATACAATAAATATACTGTCACTTATTTAGTTAAGTTTCACTAAGTAATTTGCTTCTTTCTACCAGCTGTGAAAAGGTTAATGAGAGAGGCCAAAGAACTGAAAGACAAAACTGAACAGTTTTCTGCCCATCCACTAGAAGTAAGTTTTTTTATTTTTACCCATTTTTGTTATTTCTTTTTCATTTTTGTTATTTATTTTTTTTTATTTATTTTGTCTTTCCCATTCTGAAATATTGTAATTATTTGTTAGATATGCTCTAGGAAAAGTTTATGCTCATGTGAAAAAAGTATTGGTGGTGTGCTAACAAAGACTGATTAACTGAATAAAATACTATGCGAACATTCATAAAATTTATATTTTAACTGAATCTTTTCCAAAATTTATTGTGTTTCACAATCTTTTTATAATTTTATTAAATTATATTTATTTATTTATTATATTGTTATTTTATATTATAATATAATTATATGTATATATAATGGAAATTATCTCCTTTTTAGGACAATTTGTTTGAATGGCATTTCACAATCAGAGGGCCGGTAGACACAGAGTTTGAGAATGGTTTGTATCATGGCCGGATTGTACTTCCACCGGACTATCCGATGAAACCTCCGAGCATTATATTACTCACTGTTAGTTCTTTGTTGTTTAGTTCTTTGCTAGTTAGTTCTTTGTTGTTCTTTGCTGGCTAGTTTTTGTTTGTTAGTTCTTTGTTAGTTTTTAGCCATTTCAATTATATTTTTTTCAATTTTTTTTGTTACTTGACTCCAAAGAAGAATATTTATTTAAGAAGTAAATTGAAAGTAAAGGGCAAAATAATTTTTTTGTCTCCAAAAGCCAAGTGGAAGATTTGAAGTTAACAGGAAAATCTGCCTTAGTATCTCTGGCTACCACCCTGAAACATGGCAGCCATCTTGGTCATGTTAGAGAATCTGATTTAATCTAATTACCTTTTACTCATTCACTAATCAAATACTGCCTTTGATTTGTAGATGAAAATTAATTTTTAGATGAATTTATTTTTGGATAGTAAGAACAGCCCTACTTGGCATCATTGGGTTCATGCCCTCTCACGGCAATGGGGCCATAGGTTCCCTCGACTACACCCCCGATGAACGACGCATTCTTGCCAAAAAGTATCTTTTTGTGCCTTTTTTTACTATTTTTTTCATTCAGTTTAACTCTTACTCCATTAAATGAACCTCACTAATCAAGTAGTGCATGTGCTGCTAACTTTCCATGCAGATCTCAAGATTGGAAGTGCCCACAGTGCGGTCCAATATGCAATCTCGTTCTGCCCGTCACGGAGCTGAGCAAGAAGTTGAATGCGGAGGCCAAGGAACTGGGACTTCAAATCAAAATGCAGGTTCGTTAGTTCGTTCATTTCTCATTCTTATTTATTTCGTTTTATTGCTGTTACAGCTTTGCCATTGTAGGTGTTTAAGTGTAACTTTTGATTTTTTGATTTTGAAATGTGTTTTTTTCTATTTTGTCTTTATTAAACAATGTTTTACTAGGGTGAGAAAACGAAGACTACTGAAAGTTCAGAGACGCCACCAACAACAGCAGCAACGACAAGAACGACGACGTCAGTGGCAGCACCGACATCCACCAGTGCGACTGGCCCATCACCGGCACAAAATCTTCAAATGCCACATCAGCAGCAGTTCTTTACAGCAGCGGCAGCTCAACTGAATCAACATTCAACTTTTCCCAATATTCCCCTTGCTCCTTCTTTTGCCTTTCCATACTTTGGCGGTGCACCTCCCGCTAATTCTACGCCCTCCCAATTTTCCCTGCTCCCACATATGCCCTCACAGTTTCCCACGTCTTTCCTCCCCCCTCCCCCTCTTCTTCCTCCTTTCTTCTGCCCTCCATTTCCGCCCCCACCACCATTGATGACACACCAGACTCCAGGGACTAGCACCCAACAGAATGTGTATGGAATGCCATCTTATCCTTTCTACATGAACCCTATGTTCAGTTCATCTGACTACTACAGACAGTGGCCGTTTCCTAACACTGCTGCTACTACTGCAACAATTACTGCTGCTACTGCTACTGCTGCTGATGATGCTTCATCAGGTACAACAATAACTGCAACGATATCTGCAGCTACCAGCGTTATTTCTTCTACTGCATGGAATTACACTAGTTCCACGACTACTAGTGTTGCCGCTTCGGCAGCCAGGATATCTACTACAGCTTCTGCTGGTGGTGTTGTGGTTAGTAGTGCTGCTAACTTAGGCAACAGCAGTTCGGTGGTCACTACAACTGCAGCTGCTAAGATGACCACAGCTAAGATGACTTCTACAGAAGCCACAGCAACAACTGCATCTGCTCCAGAACCGGTCACAAAAACAACAAATGTGTCTCTTACAAACAGTAGCAGTAAAGCTGTTACCACTACTGCTGCTGCTAATGCTGCTACTGCAACCACCACCTTGCAGTCATCCAGCAAGTTGAATGAGGAGAATAAATCGGCATCATCGTCAACTGCATTCTCATCCACGTCGTCATCATCAACAGCTGCAGCGACTACATCATCACCACCACCATCTACAACCTCTGCATCAACAGCTTCCGCATCTGAAACTTCCAGCAGCTCAAACTTGAGACAACGTAAGCAAAGCCTATCAACTTCCGCTGCTTCTACATCACCAACCAATGGTAGCACTCCGGCTGCTGCTGCCCGACCAATAAGAACGCAGCAGCGTAGGTCTGCTAGGCTGCTGAGTGGACTAATCAGAATGTTTGCCGCTGGGTTGCTAGACTTTTTCATCGTCATCATTGCGTTCGCCATCTTCAGCTTGATTGGTCTTCGGATGCTTTGGATGGTTTGAGTGAATGTGATGGTGGTGTTGTTGATTGTGATGGTGGTGACGATGATGATGATGATTTTTCTAATATGATGATGATGGTGATGATGATGGTAATAATTAAAACTTTCATGATGAAAATTGATTGACTGAAAATTTAACCTGGATTGTAGATTTACTTTTCGTTAAACTCATTAACCGATTAACCAACTATTCAATTAATCTTTCAATTATATATATTAAATAACGTAATTTGTAATAAAATTTAATTTGTTAGTTTGTTCATTAATTAATTAATTAATATTTTGTTGACTTGAACGCTTCATTCAATTCTTTCATGGACTCAGTTTTGGACTCAATGCCATCTTTCATTCAATTTATTCATTCATTTGAGAAAGAACTTTGTCATCATTTCTTTCATCTTTATCTTCACTAACTAATTATATTCATATAATTATTAGTTGTTATAATTATTGCTATTTATATTATTATTGAGTCTGTAATATTAATATGTATTACAATTTTCATCCTTTAATTTGCATGCACTTTTGAATAAATGTTCTGCTCTAGTTTGCTCGTCTGGTATAAATTTAAATATAAATAACTCGCCATTGTACGAATCGTGAAAAAAGCTTAAATCACTATATAGACAGGCACCAACCACATTTCGGAAAAATCGAACTATAGTACGGCAATTCTTAACGATAGCTATTCGGTCGCGATTCCAGTTAATATACATCAAAAACTTCGGTTTCCCATCAACAAATTATAATATTTTCACGCTCATGAGATTGAGTAATACATGAATCTAACTTAAAAAAAACTACCAGCTTAATTCTCTGTACCGAAGCCACACATTCCACACAGCGGGAGAATAAGTTTTGTTTGCAAAGTTGCCTAAACCTTTTTTCAGAGGTCCCATTTTTCACATGGCAGCACCTCTGCCGGTTCGGTTTCGAGTCTAGTCCTGGTCTAATATAGATAATATTGATGTATATAAAATTATATTACGTTGTGTTAAATATTTACTGTCCCCAATGTACTTAAGATTAGATGTGTAGGTGTGTTTTTTATATAGAATTTCAAGATATTATGCACTATGTATAACGCAATTGCGTGAGATCATATTGAGTATGGCTCTAAAAATTGTATCCACAGTTAAACCAATTGTGAGGCATTTTACTTATCATGATATAATAAAAGAATAATTAGTTATTAGTACTTTTGTTGTTTGTGATAGTAGTAGTAGCAGTAGTAGTAGCATGAAATAGTAGTACCAGCAGAAACATTAATAGCAGTAGTTGTAGAAGTAGCCACAGTAGCGGTAGTAATATGGTAGTAGTAGCAACAGTCGTAGTAGTCGTAACTGCAGTAGTAGTAGTAGCGGTGATTAAAAACTTTCTCACAGTTTTTTGAGCTGCCTTGCTAATATGTTTGAGTAAGGTATGTATGTATCTATTTATGCGGTGATTGAGTTTGTTTAAATATTTTGGCTATTATCTGAAATGGCGACAACGAAAATGTTGTTTTAGTTTTTGCTAATGGCTATGCTTATGAGTGTGTGTGTGAAAGATTTCATAAGAGAGCCGACGGCAGAAGATACTAAATAAGAACGTCATTTTCAACAAAAAACACTCGTTTTTACGTACAACGTCCAATCACACACTCACACACGCACACACACACCAGACACACGCACACACATTTATTTATATATGAAAAGACAAACTTTAACTTGATAAACACACACACACACGCACACGTATGCAGGCACGCACGCAATGTTAACAGGCAAATACACGCAAGCGCAAATACTTCTACGCATTATTAAATCATTTTAATTAAATATCTAAAAAATTTTAAACGTGATTTAAACTCAAACTTCCACTAAACATTATTAAACACGAACCCAAACAGTTTAAATATTTATTTACTTATTTGTTTAATTTTGTACTACTGCCTTGCATGCTGTAACAGTTTCTTCGTCTCTCCGATCCTGATTTTTAAAGAATAATAAAAAAAAATTAATAAATAAAATATTGAAATGTTTGATACGAATCTACCAAATTTATCAAACAAAACATGCTTTCCTTCCAGCCTTTGCATTAAACTAATGCAAACAATTAAACAATTGCAATACTAAAAGTAATAGAAGTAGTAAAATTAGTATCAGTGGTAGTAGCAGCAGCAAAACAGTGGTTGTAGTATCAGAAGAAGTGATCCTAACAGCAGTAGTAGCAGTAAAAGTAGCAGCAGCTGGGTAGTCGTACTAATAGCAGCAACTGTGGTAGTAGTAGTAGTAGTAGTAGTAGTAGTAGTAGTAGTAGTAGTAGTAGTAGTAGTAGTAGTAGTAGTAGTAGTAGTAGTAGTAGTAGTAGTTTTGTTGCCTAAACAACTCAAAATGTTAAACATTAGCGAGCCTAAATCTCCAAACTTTCAACAACTGCTGAGTTACATCGCGTGCTGTCGGATCATTCTTCTAAAACATAACATGGGATTCTGTAACAATCGCCTATTATCTGAGATCAACAACTTTCTCATGACGTTGACGATGATGATGATGTTGACGGTGGTGGTGGTGGTTTTAATGGTGATGATGATAGTGATGATGATGAAGATGATGATGATGATGAAGATGATGATGATG